TTAAATTCGTCTTGATTGTGCAATCGATTCTTCATTCTTTTCAGTTAATGCAGTATTTGTATTTTTGGACCTGAGCATCTGGGGGAGAGAGCGGCATATCTCAACAATTCAGATCTATACCCTATTCGTAGTCCATTTACACACAAACAAAGATGCAACGCGACGAAGCGGCAGCCGCATAAGCGTTGCAACAGCTATTGGTCATTAGGCCATAAAACTCAGGCTCGGGGTATCGCCGGCACGCCGACGCCGGCAGTTGCTGTTCATATTCGGTGCATATGTTTATACGTTAGCATGTCATCTACGAATACAGCAGATGAAACTGCGAATATTTCTCCCAATGTTTCCTTCAGTGATGTCTTCTCCCAGAAAACATTTGAATATTCAGGCAAACGAAATTGTAAGAGCGAAATTTTAGAACATCCAGAAATAAAAATTCATGTTATTGAAAGACGTGTGGTGAACAAAACAAGCCTATGTTATTGTAAAAGAATATAAAAAAAAATGGTCTCCACCACACAAGAGGCTGCATTACACGAGGCTGTTGGATACAGTTGATAGCTTTGAGCGGAATGCCATCAGACGCAAAGTTCGTCAATTTTTTGAAAGGCAGGAACTTCCCACCATAGACAAAGTATTACAGGAGGTCAAAACTGATGTAGACTTAAATTCTTTCGAAAGGATCACATTCTATAGTTTGCTCAGAACTTTATTTTGGATATAGAAAACGGGGCAGAAATACTATTTTGATTAGAGATTATTTTATGGAGAAGAAATTATTTAAAATCAATAAAGAAATATCGCGACCACGGCAGGAAGATTTATTACTTGGACGAAAAATGCAGGACATACAAAAGCTAATGTATGTGCTGACTCGACAATTAAATCAGCAAGACAAGCCTTCTTCGATGGACTAACCACTGGCCTACAGAATCCGTCAGGTGCTTGTATCTAACCAATTCGTCATTTGTGTTGTCAACTGGACTGAACCCATGAGCCCACGATGAAAACTTAGCTACACTAAACTTAGCTATATATGGTAGATTTGGAAACAACACATGTTAGATACACTGCTTGTATTATTATTAGTTTTATACTATATATTCTATACGAAATAATTATTTCCAGGAACAGGAAAACGATTTGTTATCTGTCACATGGGCATTTGAGTCAACGGAAACGACCGACTACCATGAAGAAATGGACGGGAGTTCATTTGCACGGTAGGTCGAAGAAACGCTCCCAAAGCTTGACGACAATGCCGAAATTCAACAATAGCTCCTATCAAAAGACATTAGTTTCAATGAAAAGGCAGTAGAAATATAATTGATATAATCTTAATGTTATTGACGAAATAGCTAAAAACCAAAATAAGACCCTTTTAAGGCCCTACCGAATTAAATCCCATTGAAATGATTTGGGCAAATATAAAAAACTATGTGACTTCAAAAAAAGATCATTCAAATTTTCTGACGTGAAAGATTTGTTTTATGAAGCTGTCAACACAGTGACGGCAAACAAATTGGAAAGACTACATTCGTCACATTCAAAAGACAATCGAAACAAAGATGTGGGATCTGCATAATATGATCGATATTCAAATTGAACCTGTAATAATTAATATTAACCATTCGGACGATGATTCAAGTACTTCCAGCGAATAAAGAATTGTGAAAAGTATGTGCACTTCTTGGTATAAAAATAATCATCTATTTTGTTAGATTATTCCAAGACCATTGACGAAAATACGGACCTGTACAATCTCGCTTTTGGGCATGTTGTGTTTTGTCTGGGCGTAAATGGACTTGATTGGAAACAAAAAGAAAACACCTCCCATTCATTGCTTAAGAAACGGGTACCTTATTAGGGCATTGCCTCCCTTTTCCCCCTAATGTTTAAAAGTAATCGAACTATAAAAGTAGTGAAGTGAATTTGCTTAGAATCGCCAGTGAAGCCAAACATTTTTCTGGAAGTCGCCAAGAAAATCGACAGTGGCCAGGTAAAAGAACCGAGCTAAAGCATCTCAAAAGTCGCCGATTTGGCTACAAATTGCAAAACCTGGCAAACCAGGAGACAGACAGCAGATAATATATAGGTCGTTCCCGTATTTTTAATGAGAATGAAGTTTTATGTACATATTTTTGAAATTGACGTTCCCCTCGCCATGAATAATACATAAGAGTTTGGAACGCAAAAAAACGGCAATAAGTAGATTAACTCATTCCTACCCCCTAGGGTTCATATAATATATAAGTCTACTCTCAAATTTCCTATACACACTAACTGGGAAGCTACACGAATATGCTTTAAGCATCATGACTAATATATGTAACTCGAAATTTGACTATTCAAAATGTTAACATTTTTTTGACTTCGCTGAACAAAAAAAGAGTCTCGAAAACGTACATAATTTTGACTACGCCTAAACATGATCAGGCTGTTGTACAAAATAGAAGAATGAAAGTTTGGAGACCTTGAATGAATTTCGCTTTTGGATCAGAACTCAGCCGTCACTATACATAGCCAAACAGCATGCGAATTTATACGAACACCAACAGACAGACAGACAGACAAACAAAACGACACAAAATAATGCTACGAATATTCGTATTATAAGCAAAGATTACATCAGATTCATTTATTTAATTCAGAAGTGTTCGCTATCACAACAATTATTTTGCTTGTTGTCAGCCAGCGAAAAAGATACCTAGTTAATATTATTCGATAGTTTCAATGCGACTAACAAGTGTTAGCATAATCTCAGGCCTTAGGCAGCATCCAGAAAACTCAAATAAATTCGGCGGCCTCACGTATGCCTCGATAATCAAATTTCTTCCACTAGCCAAGAAAATCGATTTGCCAAACGAAGCAAAAGAAACGCGCGTTCGCGAAGTATACAGAACACTAGTAGTAGCCTCGCTAACTTTTTCCTATGCCTGAATTTTACCAGAATCTGTTAAACGTTCAAATAATGGAATGTTCCATGACATATTCAACCATCTCACTCATTTCCGTAGGTCTACCTGCCTGTCTGTTCGCTTATCCTTGGTCTCTCTACATCTTGGTAAGTACCAATTGAATTTTGAACAAATTTTGACGTAAGGCTACTAATATACCAAGGACGAAAAAGTTTCGTAGTTTTTGGAAATATATACTGAGTGTGCTGAGTGACAAAAAAGGTAAACACCTACGATTTTAATAATTTTTGGCTTATATGTGTCCCTTACTAGTAAAATGATTAAATTTTCAGCTTGATTCGTCAACTGACTGCAGAAGCTGGTTGAATACTGAGGACCCACTATTTCCTATACACTCATTGACACGCCTGCGCATCATGCTGATAAGGTGGTCGATATCCTATAGGATAGAGCTGCTGCAGTCTGTGGAGGGTGTTACAAATTCAAGAGCCTGTGACCTAACATGTCCCAGACATGTTCAATTGGAGATAGGTAATGCGCTCGTGGTGACCAAAGTATATGTATCCAGTGACGGTAAAAAGTAAAAATGGCTTTAACTTCGTTTTGTGGCGTTTCTAATATTCCTGCTCATTTTTTAACTTTTTTGTAGGGGTTGAAAATTGGAGCTTCAGCGTAGTAGGAGGAAGATTTTTGAAAATGTTGCGTAATGTAGAAAAAAAATAAAAAATGTATCTTAACAACTTCCTAGCCTGCCATGTTCAAACTTACGGTCCTGTTCCATGGCTATCACAAACCAGATGAAAGTAGCTATTACAAGCAAAAGAGAAAATATTGTTGACCATACCTTGTTGCTACGTTATCCCAAACGCTTTCAGTGTTGTTATTTGTGCAACGAAAATCAGTATAGAGTCATTTTTCCCAAACATCTTCATTCATCCTTGGTGTGGACTATCATACAAGCTAGGTCCATGTTGCTATCCCAAGCAACCGAGTTCAATGTTGCAGCGTTATCCCAAACGTCTTTGTTCGTCCTAGGTATGAAGTTGGCTAACACAAGCTAGGTCCAGGCTGCAATCCCAAGCAGAACGTTATTAATATTCATTTAACTTGCACCTAAAACAGATCGGTAAGTTGACGTCCCTTCAGAAAAAGAGGCCTGCACGCCACTTTCTAATTTTGGTCGGCGACGAAGACAATCTTTAGGCGACTGTCGGTCGGTGTCTCGTTCTATAAAGCACATCTATCGGTCAACCTTCTCTCCTGCTTTTTAATTCTAAATGTTCAGCGGATCCTCACACTGCACTGCACATAAACGACGTTCGCCGATTAACGTCTTGACGGTCGGGCACGAGAACAAGGAATGAAGGTTTATCGGCGTGGCGGTTTTGTACTACTACGAGGGTACTATGATATTTTGAGACAAAAAACTCAAGCTAAAATTTTTTTCTGTGGCGGGAAAAACGACGATTTAATATTGAAAAATTATATTGTCGATGTAAATTTTAAATTTTGAAATTAGTAGGCTATGTTGTACTTATAGCGACAATGAGACCTGCGTTGCTAAGGAGATTTTTAAAGTAATCAAGTAGCTGTCAATTTAATTTTGTGATTAGATTTAAAAATTGTGAACTTAGTGGTTGTTTAGAATTTATTTTTAATACTATAAAGTGAAAAATGTCTGATTCCTAGTTATCTCTGACTCCACCGGAATTAGTAGAAGTAGCCAAAGTAGCGTCACAAAAATTATTGCCAGCTAAATCGCGGATTTCGACTGTTGTACCGAATAGTTTAAGGAACGTGACATTTAATAATTGTACTCTTGATATAAAGGAAATTTCACTTTATTGTATAATACAATATTCTAAGATTAAATATCTACCTTTGCTTATGTGTTTATCAATATCCGGGAAAAAAGTACTGATTTTTTTAACCCGGGAAAAAAAGTAATTTCATAGAATGTAACATTTTGTTACCTGTCAACAGAGATAAAATGTCAAACGTTTTTCCCGTCACAGAAAAAAAGATTTTTCCGCCAGTGACCCAATTACCTGTAGCCTGTAAGCTTTAGCGTTGTCGGCCAACGGTAAGCGAACAACTTTTCCAAAATGGCGGCGTCTCTTTCGATACAATTGCCCTGGCAACGCAAACAAACAGCAGCGAAAAGTTTCAGTGTGATTGCCTCTTCTTCGACTGGTAAAGTTTTATAGGGCGAAGGTATGACGAACTGGGCGGACAAGCAGAAGAAGGAACCTGAACCCGAACCACCGTTCAGAATAACACCTAGGGACAGCAATGATCCCAGCTACACCAACTTGACGCTGCCATAGTAAGTAGGTATAGTCCATTTCACGGTTTTTGGCGGGTCACACTAAAACTACCAGCGTCACTTCTCTGTATTCATCTCACTCACACATACATAAATATATACAATGAGCCTCTGTGTGCGGACGTTTGATACTTTAACCTCAGACATATGTTCTTTAGTTTCGTCTCGCCACGTCGACAATTTTCTCACCAAGGTATGAGTATTCCTAATGTATGCTTGCCACTATAGTGTGATAATGCACTTGACATGGTCATACCATTCCGATTTTATTCTATATACAGGGTGCGGCAGAGAGGATGGGCGGTTTTAAAAAAATCATAAAATAGTTAATTTTTACTCGTAAACAAATTTATTGATGGAATCAGGTTCACAAGGAAATAGCATTTGAGACAGTCAAGTGTGGAAAATCACATCAGGCATGTGGTGGCTGAAATCGTTGATGCAGTGCTGGAGGCGTTCTTGGAAGTTCGTGTAGACTCTCTCCAATATCGCTCTCTCAACTTATACGACTTCCATGCGAATTTCGCCTTTGAATTTGTCTAGAGTTCGTGGCTTGTTAGCGTATACTCTAGCCTTGAGGTGTCCCCATAATAAAACATCGCATATGGATAAATCTGGGGACCGAGGAGGCCAATGAACATCGCCAAACCTGGAAATAAGGCGACCAGGGAAGAGAGAGCGAATAATGTCCATGGATGCTCGGGCTGTGTGGGCGGTCGCCCCATCCTGCTGGAACCACACACGTCGGATTGGAACACGTCGCCGTCGTAATTCAGTTGGTGATCATGTCGACGTAGCGCTCTGAGTGTTCACGGTAACATCACGACCATTACCGTCTTCGAAGAAGTAAGTGCCAATGATGCAAGTTTGCGATACAGCGCACCAAACCGTTACTTTTGGGCTGTGCAGCGGTCTTTCGTGTAACTGTTGCAGATTTTCATTAGCCCATTAACGACAATTCTGCTGGTTAACCATGCTGTTTAGGTGAAAGTGGGCTTCGTCACTCATAGGCGAAAATGCGGTGCTCCACCATCCAAGGCTCCATAACGACAACTGGTAAAATAATGCTAGGATCTCACGAGCCAAACGGCACCCTCCCCACCTCGCCTGGGCATTGTGCTGATAAGGTGGTCGATGTCCCATAGGATAGAGCTGCTATAGTCTGTGGAGGGTGTTACAAATTCAAGAGCCTGCGACCTATCATGTCCCAGACATGTTCAATTGGAGATAGGTCATGCGATCGTGGTAACCAAAGTAACGGATGATTTTTTAAGAGGTAGATATAGGAAAGCATTGGAAACCAAATCGAAGAGGATGGAAACCCTATACTTGATGAGGCTGAAATATATTTCCAGCAAGACGGCGCTCCTCCTCACTATGTTCTTCCGGTTCGGCAATGGCTAGACGACGAGTTTCCAGATAAATTTATAGGGCGAAGAGGGCCTATAGAATGGCGTGCTAGATCTCCTGATTTGATGCCATCAGACTTTTTTCTATGTGGTCATTTGAATTCTATTGTGTTTACTCCCCAACCTGAAAGTTTGGATGAACTTCGTCAACGCATCATCGAAAGCTGCCATGATATCCCACAACATGTTTTTGAAAATGTCCGTCAGGAATTTGAACATCGTCAATAACGGGCAACACTTTGAACACTTATTGGAATGAAAAGTGATATTTTCGTGTGTTTATGTTTTCTACCCGAACAAATTAAGATAAATAAAGATTTTTCAAATTGTCTTGAAAATGAATCGACCGATTTTAAAAAATCAAACGTCAAAATAAAAGACTTTTAAAGATCTTTCAAACAAGCTATCATTCGATACCCCTTGTCATTTTGAACTCCGCCTTTTGATTAATCCAATAAAGAGAATTATTATTATTATTTAAAATTTTTGAGGGGATGACCCTGGAGGGCAGAGAGTGAAAGAGGGTGAAGGTTTTTGGTTGAAAAATTGTCCCCTTGACAAATCTTCTGACGGGTCTCGGCGTTTTTTCTTTTAATCAGTGGTTTTCAATAAATACGTGGTGGAAAGTTTTTAAATGAACGCCCTGTATAGTTCCGTTATTGACTGCTCAAAGACTTCCCTTATCCCTTTATATATCTTCGTCTCCCTCATACATACACATGCAACCTACCCCTGTGTGTGAACGTGGATTCGGTAATCTCAAAGACATACGTTTTTTAGTTGTGTGTCTCCGTCTCGAAATTTGTCGTTACGCATAAGTGCCCTTAATCATATTTGTCAAAGTGACAACTTACTTGACATCGGCATGCAATTCGAATTGTCCTGTTATCAATCTTCAGTATAAAATTGGCCGAAAATACGATCAATGGAGAAGGCCAACAGCTCGTGCTAAATTTATTATAGTACTTCCAGGAAGAGAATGAAAACAGCGGTCCCCTGTTACCCACTTCGTGCGTACTGGAGAGAGTAGCAGATGCGCTGAAGATTAGTCAGCACAGTGTTCCGCCCATGGTAGGGAGACTGGTTCTGTCTACTTATTTCATATGGCGTTGATGACGTAACCGCCAAGAACGGTGACTACAAGAATAACGTTATCCGTTTGGTTCATTAAGCCGTTTGGGGTGTTGCGCGTGATATACATATTTTAAGGTATTTTCTGCGTTATACGAGTAGTTTAACCTATATGCTGTTCCAGATGATAGTCTATCTCTGTAAGCACTAAATTTCATCCAGATCCGTTCCGCTATTTTAGCGTGATTGAGTTACAAACATCCACACTTTCTCATTTATAATATTAGTATTGATTCATGAGTGCTAGAGCAACTGCGTTTAAGATTGATTTGTCCACATGGTTCAGTTATTCGATTTGCTTACTCATTTTATATGTAACCGCCAAAAACCGTGAAAAAGTTAAATATACACTTCCACTACCTTCTTCTACTAGACACTTCTTCTTTTACTAGTTTGTCTTTTTATTACGAATCATCAATAAATATATTTTGTTTACCTACTGTATTTATTGAGCATGACCGTCTAAATCAACGGTTTCAAATCCATTACTTTTTCCTTCTGTGTATTAGGGTTTCAACTGACGCGATTATTATGTTCAATATTCTACATTTAGTGAGAACAGAACATTCAGAAAAACGATTTTATTTGAATGAAAGTTTATATTGAGTTAGCCATGAGCAAGAGGAAAGTTAGTTTGCTGGATGTTCTATTTTCTTAATCACTGAATATATTTATATTCTTATAGATGACGAAGCTTGTGATTATTTCGTTTATTATTATTAATCCAAAACAGAAATGAACAGAGTACACTATAAGTTCATGCACAAAAGGAAAACGTAATAGGTTAAATACGAAAGTTTCCACCTATTACTTGATCATCACTTTGGAGCTATCCACTGACGCAGCATTAAGCACACTGTCTGGTAAACCATTTCAAGTATTGAATATGCGATTGGTTTGAACTTTTCTATATTTTCAGAGTGGCACTCTATCAATTGTTTATATCTTTTGTATGTATTCTTTAGTCGAGTGATCTGTCGCCAACGTTACCGTCGGGCTGGCAAGCTGCAAAGGGCCCAATTCATAAACGAAATCAAGGAGCACGAACTTCTGCAGGCCCGAGCTCTTGGAGGAGTTCGCATCCACAGGGAGTTTTGCAACGCCATCTTGAGCATGCCAAACTTGAACGATCTCATCAAATTGAGCATCAATGAGAACATGCGGCTGGAAGAAATTCTCAATACGAAGTATTAAAAAGCACAGGCAATGTCTGGAGATTGTGGTGGATCATTAGAATAAAGGACTGAGAAATATTACATAGTGCTTGATTTCAACTAACTGGCTATTCATACAGACTTACTTTTTTAAATATAAAAACATTCATGTTTATCGGGTTATCTTTATTATCGACGAATTTTTTTTTCGAAAAGTAGGCTAGCTCTGCAGTTCCCATGCAACGCCGTTATCAGTTCATACAGGATTATGTTCAGCACCAGTTAGACCCTAACGAAATGAGGTAAAGCCATGAACCTTATATCCTGGGTAAAGGATAGTTGCTAGGCTTTCATGCTGATGAATTGCCAAAAAAAATTCAGTTTGAAATCTTTATTTTATATACATTTACATTTGATGCATTCGGCTCATATATAAACAATGAAAAACAAAAATGCAGGGTGATTCACAAGTCGTGACCAAAAATGAAATATCAGACACATTCAAAAGTCTACTTAAAATTAACGTGCGCCAGTGGCGGAGATACAGGGGTTGATGTCATTATTTTTCACAATAAAAATAGTACGCCAATGTAAACGCCCAATTTTTCAAATTTTACCTTCAATTTGCTACATATGATTACTCTTGTTTTTTTCCTAGAGTGCATTGTTTTCGTAAAAATAAAAAAAACAAATTAGATAATCAAAGCTTTATTTCAATAAATGTTCAAAAAGACCACCATTCTGACGGATACAAGTGCGGCATCCTTTTAATAAAGAAAAACGTATTTCCGCAAAATTTGTTGTGGGTTGAATTTGATGAAACGCATTATTTATTCATTCTTGTAACTGATCTACAGTATCAATTTGTTCAGCATACACTAGTTGTTTAAATGCGCCCCACAGAAAGAAATCCAGGGAGTTGAAATCAGGAAACTTCGCAGGCCAATGTACTGGTTCTTTTTTGCCAATCCATCGTTGTCTAAAATGATTATTTAACCATGCGGTTATGTCACGACGAACATTCGGTGGGGCACCGCCGTGCTGATACCACATTCGTACTCTCGTTGCTAACGGAACATCATCTAACACGTTTTCTATGTAATTCTCTAGAAAAGCTAAGTATGCGTTTGCTTTTAAACGTTGTGGCAATACGTGCATAAGCAGTTGTCCATGGAAAATGCCGCACCAGACATTTCTAGCAAATTTGTGTTGAAACGAGTGCATTTTTACCTTACGATGATTTTCTAACGATCAAATATATTATGATAAAGGTTCCACTCCTCGTAAAATTCATCTGACCACAATACCAAAATCAATAAAATCTACATTTTGATTATGCATTTGCAGTAACCACTCACAAAAGTTTCGCCGTAGCACTTCGTCACCGGGTTGCAGACATTGCACATTTTGCCGTTGGAAGGATGTAAAACATCTCGTTTTAAAATTCTCCAATCAAGACTTTGGCAACATGATAACTGGGCTGCTGTCTACTACTAGGATCATCCAACGCCAAATTCATCACTTCCAGTTCCTCTTGAACGGTATGCCAGACAACAATGGCCTCTACCTCCGGGAAGTTTGGCAATACTATATTGCGGAAGTCTTAGAAATGAACGCGTAAAGACCTTAGGGGTAGGTTGGTGTCTGTAAGGAAATCTACGTTGATACTCCCGAGAAACCGTTAAAGCATTGCCATTACAGAACCCGTACACAAAAATAATATCGGCGTACTCATAATTGCTAAATTCCATTTCATCACACTCAAAAATGGAGAAAAATAAACTTTTGACTCCACTTTTACAGAAAAAAATTGTAGTAGTAACGATAACAACCATATAACACATAACTTTGACAAACTATCTCCCAAAACACGTCAAATTGGTATCAAGGCTTCCTATTCTATTTTGAAACTAATTGTATCTCGGCTCAGAATGATCTAATTTGTTTTATTTTTATTTTTAACCCCTGGATTTTTTTTGTGGGGCGCTTTTAAACAACTAGTGTGTGCTGAAAAAATTAATACTATTGATTAGTTACAATAAATAATAGATAATGCGGAAAAACGTTTTACTTTCTGCCGCACTTGTATCCGTCAGAATGGAGGTCTTTTTGAACATTTATCAAAATAAAGCTTTGATTATCTAATTTGTTTTGTTTTTATTTTTACGAAAGCAATGCACTCTAGGAAAAAACAAGAGTAAATATTATTTGTAAGCAAATTGAAGGAAAAATGCGAAAAATTGCGCGCTATGAAAAAAAAATAGTGTACTATTTTTATTTGGGTAAATAATGCCACTAATCCCCTGTATCTCCGCCACTGGTGCACGATAACTTTAAGTAGAGACTTTTGAATGTGGACAATACATAGGTAAATCCACATACTAAATTCTAGTTAATTCCAGGCTTTGAAAATATTAAAAAACATTGGTTTTTATTTTTAAACTTCAACTTCAAACGTTTCTTTTTAATAAATCCCTGGAGGAAAAAATGCTACAGACCCCCATAAAATGTGATCCTGTGTATGCTGTTTTATTTTTACCGTTTTCATTGAAAATATGTACTTCTTAGGAAGGGAGTGAAATACGAGGAGCATAAAAGGGGCCGTAGGATAAAAGCTTTTCACATAGTATTGTTCGAAATCAGCATGTTTGAGTTAGATCCGCTAAGAAAAAAGTTAGTTACGAGCATATTATTCTCGAATTCAGGTAGATTAAATGAACCAAGTCAATCAAATAGGCCTGTACAATTAGTCCATCAACATTCTTTCGGTGCCGTACGAAGCGTCAGACGCGGAACAGCGTCAGTCATGCCAGGACACAGGGAGCAGAACTAGGGACGTATATCGAAAACATTTCTCTGTCGTTTTCAGGGGGAATGTATATGTGAAATATGTCTAATATGTGCGTAGTGTTACCGAGATTGAGAGCGTATATACTTGCATCAAACATTGACATATACTCTTTCCCTTAAGAGTCCCCAACACCAGTATTTAACCACTATAAACGGTTTTCTAAGAATGATCAGGAATCTTGGAAACGTCAAAAAACGAAGTTTGAGCGATTTACTGATTCTTTTTGTTTCGTTTTTGGCCTTTATCTCCACCACCATTGAAACTATTTTCAAAAATTATAAAGCTCTTTCGTCCATCTCATAGTACCCCACCTCATTTAAAAATATCATCCAAATCCAAGCAGTACCTTCCGAGTCATAGACGGACCAAGGAGTAGCGGACAGATCGACATACAAACTGACTGACCAACAGGCAAACAAACGAGATTGAGTGACGTGGTTTTTCGTGATGTCATATAACATCCAAAAAACATAATACCTCATTTTCGAAATTTCTCGCGGATACAATTCTTCCTCGCCAGTAGGCACGGGAAGTAAAAAGCTTTCATGACATTTAGATTTCGGACATCATTTCTTCCATATAAAGGCTTTTACTGTGGTCAATTTTTTAAGCTTATTCTGGTTTTTACCTATAGGGATGCATTCGAATAAAAAAAAACTAATCTGAAAACAGCCATGAAAACAACTAGTCAACTTCAACATATATTGAACAGTATTAAATATAAAAATATAAAGCAATGGCACTGCCACATTATTCTTCTGGGCTGGATTCTTCTTCAGTGGGAGCCTCATCGGTGGCAGCTAGTTCGTCGGCGGTGGCAAGTTCTGTGCTTGTTGGTTCTGTCCCGGTTTCGGTGGGATCAGCAGTTTCAGTGGGAGCCTCGGTTGTTGCTGGTTCCTCCGTTGTCGCGGGCTCCTGACTTGGAGCGGCTTCAGCGCCTTCTTTAGGTGATTCTTCGCCTGAAATCACAGATTTTTCATAATATTGCATTATCGAGATGAGCAAATTTGTTACAAGCAATGCGAGAGGTTACTATAAAAAAATCGTAAGAACTTTGCTACGGAGATACGGGTCATTAAGGACCGATTTTACTATATATACAGGGTGTTTCAGTTTATTTTTGCATAACTTTAAGATTTGATAGAACTTTTAAAATTAACGCATAAAGTCTATATAAACATGGGTCGAAAAATGCGTGGCTTCCGAAATACAGGGTGTTTAAATTTACTTTTTAAGACAGTTTTTTTTAAATATTTCGAACAATATTTGATGTATAACGGTGAAAATTGGTATACAAGGGTTTTTTGGTACGACAAAACGTACCATGAGCATAGTTTTACTGTAGCCGCTAGAGGGCGCTCTCTACTGTACCTGTAGTGCATTAAAATGCCCGAAAAATTTTTCTTAGTCCAATTTTTTGCTTTTTGAAAAAAACTGATTCTTCGCATTTTTCTGCATAAAAAAGCTCTCCTGTGAGTTTTCGTTATAGTTAGCTGTTTTTGAGACATTTCGATTTTTAAGGTTCGATGCATTTTTAATTATTTATGGGAAAATAATATTTTTCTTTTACATTTTCGATTTGGGCATTACAAGTAATTAAAATGATCGTTTAGATTGTGTTTTTAAACACAGCAATAATTCCTAACTCCAAATAAACACAAAAAATTAATATTAATTTCTTTAATTTTCCAATATTATTTTTAACAAATTAAATTAATTATTTACAATTAAAATGCTATTGGATAGTTAGGACAAACATACAAAATCTAAAGTAGTTGCTCGAAATCTAAAGCCAATTGTTCAATACACAATTCACATCTACGAATGATCGAACGTGGTATAGAATTATTCAAATAAGGCCTTATTTCATCACATGCATTCCTGATTCTGTCTATTAGCATATCTCTTGTGGTTACGGGAGTCTGGTACACTTTTTCTTTTAGAAATCCCGACACAAAGAAATCTAATGGATTTAGGTCAGGGGATCGTGGAGGCCAGGCGACTGGTCCTCCACGGCCGATCCATCTTTCTGGATAATTTTCGTCCAGCCAGTTTATAACTATTCTTGAATAATGAGCTGGACAACCATCAAGCTGGAACCAGGCCAATCTTCTTAAATCTAACATAACATCATCCCATATATTTGCATGTTCAGCCTTTAAAAATTCCAAGAAGGTCGCAGCATTTAACCTTGCAGGCAAAAGGTAGGGTCCAAATAGTCGATTACGGTAGATACCAATCCACACGTTTACACTAAATTCATGCTGAAAATTTCTTTCCCGAACTGCATGCGGATTTTCATGAAACCAAATATGTTGATTATGAAAATTTACCACTCCACGTCTAGTGATGCATCACTCATCGGTCCATAAAACGTTACTTAAAAACTCCCTATTATTATCAGTTCTATCAAGAATCCACTGACAAAATGTGATTCTTCGTTCTCCGTCCCCTGGCTGTAGTCCTTGCACAGGTTGCAAATGGTAAGGACGTCTATGGTCATTTCTAAGAACACGGTGGACATGGCTTGCTGAAATTCCCAAGGCACCAGAAACTCTCCTAACACTTGTGGTCGGATCTCCGTCAAACTCACGCAGAATCATACGGAGATTTCCAAAACCATTTTCAATTATTTGGCGATGCACTCTTGCAAATACTGAGCGAGTTGGATGTAGTCTGTTTGGAAATCTTCGTGCGTATTCTCTGGCTGCTTCTGCTACGTTTCCATTTACAAAGCCATACACAAGATGAATATCCGCTAACTCTTGATTGGAGAATAAAAATGGCATTTTTATTAAACTTACAAATAAAAAACAGGTAAAAGAAACTAAATTTCGTGCATTCACAATTGCAAAAAAACGATTCAGGTGTCAAAAGACAACAAAACTAACTGTCAACTCATTGACGTTTAACCTTATTCTGCTTTCAATTTCAAAAATATTTGCAGGCACAGCCTACTTCTAAAAATTATCGAGATACTGACTTTTTAACGTTATTTTATCATAAATAATTAAAAATGCATCGAACCTTAAAAATCGTAATATCTCAAAAACGGCTAAATATAACGAAAATTCACAAGAGAGCTTTTTTATGTTGAAAAGTGCAAAGAATCAGTTTTTTTATTCAAAAAGCAAAAAATTGCACTAAGAAAAAATTTTCGGTCATTCTAATACACTACAGGTACAGTAGAGAGCGCCCTCTAGCGGCTACAGTAAAACTATGCTCATGGTACGTTTTTTCGTACCAAAAAATATTGTTCGAAATATTTAAAAAAAACTATTTTAGAAAGTAAATTTAAACACCCTGTATTTCGGAAGCTACGCATTTTTCGACCCATGTTTATATAGACTTTATGCATTAATTTTAAAAGTTCTATCGAATCTTAAAGTTATGCAACAATAAACTGAAACACCCTGTATATATAGTCTAATCATATTAGACGAAAATACCCCTGATTTGCGAAATAATTGTAAAGTCTGGTTTTATTGATGCAAGTTGTTCAAGGGGGTATTTTGCCTTAGTTGACCACGTAATACTTTTGGATAAATTGGATAGATATGGAATCAGAGGTAAGCCATTTGACTGGTTTCACAGTTATCTAAGCAACAGAAAACATTATGTTGAAGTACTGACTGCACAGTCTCACCAGCACCTATATTGTTCTATACTTGGTCCCCTCCTATACATAATATATGTCAATGACTTTCCCGCCAAATCCTCGGTAATGTATGCTGATGATAATTCATTACTTATTAATGGCAAAAACCTGGAGTCAGTGATAAGAAATGCCAACACAAGCTTAGCTAGTGCAGAGCAATGGTTCATTAATAACTCGGACTCGGACTCGGACTCGGACTCGAACTCGGACTCGCGCTCGGACTCGGAATCGGACTCGCGCTCGTGTGTGTGTGTGTGTGTGTTTGTGTGTGAGTGTGAGTGTGAGTGTGAGTGAGAGTGTGTGTGTAAGTGTGAGTGTGTGATTGTGTGAGTGTGTGAGTGTATGAGTGTGTGAGTGAATGAGTGTGTGAGTGTGAGCGTGAGCATGAGTGTCAGTGTGAGTGAGTGTGAGTCTGTGGGTGCGGGTGGGGGTGCGGGTGAGTGAGTGAGAGTGTGTGAGTGTGTGAGTGTGTGAGTGTGTGAGTGTGTGAGTGTGTGAGTGTGTGAGTGTGTGAGTGTGTGAGTGTGTGAGTGTGGGAGTGTGTGAGTGTGTGTGTGAGTGTGTGAGTGTGTGAGTGTGTGAGTGTGTGTGTAAGTGTGAGTGTGGGTGTGTGAGTGTGTGAGTGTGTGAGTGTGTGTGTGAGTATGTGGGTGTGTGAGTGTGAGTGTGAGAGTGTAAGTGTGAGTGTGACTGAGAGTGAGTGTGTGTGTGTGTGTGTAAGTGTGTCCGTGTGAGTGTGAGAGTGTGTGAGTATGTGAGTGTGTGAGTGTGTGAGTGTGTGAGTGTGTGAGTGTGTGAGTGTGTGAGTGTGTGAGTGTGTGAGTGTGTGAGTGTGTGAGTGTGTGAGTGTGTGAGTGTGTGAGTGTGTGAGTGTGTGAGTGTGTGAGTGTGAGCGTGTGAGTGTGTGTGTAAGTGTGAGTGTGTGAGTGTGTGTGTGTGTGTGTGTGTGTGAGTGTGTGTGTGTGTGTGTGAGTGTGTGGGTGTGTGAGTGTGAGTGTGAGAGTGTGAGTGTGAGAGTGTGAGTGTGAGAGTGTGAGTGTGAGAGTGTGAGTGTGAGCTTGAGTGTGTGAGTGTGAATGTGAGTTTGTGAGTGTGAGTGTGTGCGTTTGAGTGTGTGAGTGTGAGTATGTGTGAGAGTGTGCGTGTGAGTGTGTGTGAGAGTGTGAGAGTGTGTGTTAGAGTGTGTGTGTGTGTGTATGTGTGTGTGAGAGTGTGTGTGAGAATGTGTGTGAGAGTGTGTGTGAGTGTGTGTGAGTGTGTGTGAGTGTGTTTGAGAGTGTGTGTGTGTGTGAGTGTGTTTGAGAGTGTGTGAGTATGTGTGTTAGTGTGTGTGTGTGTGTGTGAGTGTGTGTGTGAGTGTGTGTGTGATTGTGTGTGTGTGTGTGTGTGTGTGTGAGTGTGTATGTGAGTGTGTGTGTGAGTGTGTGTATGTGTGTTTTTTTATATTGAAGCAGCCGCGCAGGCAGAAGCCTAAATGCTGGAACACCGCGGCTGCTATGATGATCCCAAAGAAATTTTATTAATACAATTTTTGAACTGCCTAAGGTTAATAGAACTGGGGAAAGCTTCCTCTTGTAGATTGTTCCACAATCTCGACACCCTCGGGACAAACGAGCGGTCGTATCGGCCGGTTCTGTAGAGAAGAGTCATCGATCAGTCGGACCGCCCTCCTCTGGACAGCATCGACATTGGATAATGTAGTCGGGGTGGCAGCACCCCAAACGTGCGAGCAATACTCGAGGCTAGGCCTTATCTGGGCCTTGTATAGAGTTATGCGGAGAAAGGTACTTCTTAGCCCTAAACAAATAGCCTAGTTTTTTCCCAGCAGCTGCAGCTATTGACGATATGTGTTCGTGCCAGATCAGGATCTCGGGGATCTGGACTCCGACCATCCCAAATGAATGGCTCTTTGGCAGAACTCGAAACATCGAAACCGGGTGAGCGCAGGGACGCTTTTTGTTCGTCAAAGTACAGTACTGCGTTTTGGAAGCATTAAACTGTACAAAATTGTTGCGTCCCCAAGCAGTGATAGCCTCCAGGTCTCTTGTCAAAGAGGAAGTCATCGCTAGTCTTCCTTTTTCCAACTCAGCGGCAGAGATCAGCTTGTCACTCCGAATTCCTGCATGTAGAGTACTGTCATCAGCGAAGCTGTGGATTGGGTTGATCGTGCAGGGAAGGAGGTCGTTGATATGTAAGAGAAACAGTGTCGGACCCAAGACCGATCCCTGGGGAACACCCGCGTTGATGTTGTGGGATGAAGAGGAGAACCCATCAATTACGACGGGTATCTTGCGGCCAGAGATAAAGTCAGCCACCCATCTGCAAAGCTTTTCTTGGAGGCCATAGGATGGAAGTTTGCTTAAGAGGGCAGCGTGCCACAGCTGATCAAACGCTTTCGTGATGTCAAGAGCAACGACATGAGCCTCACCATAAGACTGGATGAGTTTACTCCACAATTGAGTGACGTAAGCTAGGAGGTCCCCTGTGGATCGTTGGTGCCGGAAACCACACTGCCTGTCGCTAATCAATCCGTGACGTTCGAGGTAGTCCAGAAGCTCGCGAATTATGCACCTCTCCATCACCTTACTTAAAACAGAAAGCAGAGCTATAGGCCTGTAAATTTCCAGTTTTCTGGGAAGGTGCCGGATTCATAAGATATCTGGAAGACACGCAAGAGAACTGGAGCAAGCTCCGGTGCACACCTCTTCAGTACAATGGCAGGAATCAAGTCCTGACCAGAAGCTTTGTTGATGTCGAGCCACAAGAGCGCTCGTCTTACGGTCTTATGCCTGAATGTTACCTCCCGCATAGTGTAGGGAACCCTTTGAATTGACGGCACTTGGGCGTTGGGGGGACGTCCATGGTGGAGTTGGCAGCAAAGATCTTGGCTAGCACTTCCGCCTTGGCCTTTGAGTTGAATACAATAGTTCCATCTTGACACGTAAGTGGTGGAAGGCTACTGTGTGTGAAGTTCTTTTCAATCTGCTTGGCCAGCGTCCAGAAAGATCGACTGCCATTGCGCTGCGACATTACCCTGTGCCTAACTTTTATAATAATAATAATAATAATAATAATAATAATAATAATAATAATAATAATAATAATGTTTATTGGAGTATTAATACATAATAGAATCAAAATACGAGCAAATAATATAACACAAAAAAAATAATACTCCAAAGGGCTGGGGATTGGCATAGCCATTTTTCACCCCCGCCTGAATATATATATATACTAAGGTATATCTTATACATTAAATAAAGGATATTTGGTTGACTATAATAATGCTAACAAAACTTTAAAATATAATAAGATTAAAAATGAGATTTATCCAGCCACTTGTGGATTCATTAAATTGTAACTGTAATAGCATTCTTTTGAATTCTCTTTTGAAGCTGTGAATGGACGTTAATTTAAAGAAACTTGGGTAATCATTTAGTATACTGGGAGCTATGTAATAGAAACATTTTTTAAATTTTGAGGTAGTATGGGCTGGTATATTATAACAATATTCATTACGGAGGAACAGTTGATGGAGTGAACATCTTTTCTCTAATGTGTCAATATATCATGCTGGTTTTTGACATTGCAAACCGCTGCTTTATATTTGTTTCTGGACTCGACGTCGGCTTGTCTGTTCTCTACAGTGGGGTTTTGTAAGAAGGTTCTGTGTACCTTGATCTTCTGCTGGCGAGCAGCGTCACACGATTTCTTAAACCAGCCGTTGGACCCTGGTCTAGGCACTTTCACTGTGTGAGGGATGTATTCCTCCATTCCGACGTGGATAATCTCGGTTATCGAAAAACAGACAGCCGACGCATCCGCGTCAGTGAAACAGACATCTTTCCAAGGAAAGCTAGAGCAGAAATCTCTGAGCCCCTCCCAGTCGGCATGTCCGTAATGCCAAGTTTTGCAGCCTGTACGAGTTTCTGCTGCCACAGCGGGTTGTGACCGAAACCTAACCTCCACAACACCGTTGGTCTGAGTTATCCAGGAGGGACAGAACAGCAGTGCTGTAAGGGGCAGGATGCGTGGTCAGAAAGAGATCCAGCAGACGCGGGGGGGAAAAGTAGGAATCGTCACCAGCTGAGTCAGCCCTTGGGTAAGAGCGAACGCTTCGACTGCACGACCTGCTGCGTCGGTCTGGTTTGAGCCCAACCAAAGGTCGTTATGGGCATTGAAATCACCGAGAAGAACTACCTCTGAAGCGGTATGATTGATGTTCAGGAAGTCGATCTGGACGGCGAGGTATTCGAGTAGGTCATCCCAGTTATGGTCCGAGGGAGAGCGATAAAGGCAGCAAATAAACTTGGGTGATGTTTTGGAGTTGAGGCGAAGCCACAGAATGTCCTTCCGCTCTGATTCCAAAAAAGCATCTCTGGAGCAGGAAAGACTGCTGCGGACAAAAGCCACAACTCCCCCGTTCATTCTCAGAGTGGAGTGCACCTCGTAGTTTGGGAAGTAAAGATGGTTAATCGGTGCAGACTCTGAGATTTTTGTCTCCGCCAAGAAAAGCACGGCGGGACGATTGGATTGCAGGAAGTGATGAACAGCATCAATGTTGCTGTTAATACAGCATATGTTCGAAAGCAAATTTTATCTTCGATGTTGTTCCCTCGAGCCCACCCCCCACCCGGACATTCCGAGAGTGGAGTGAGTTTACGTCCGGAGTTCTTAGCGCTCGAGGGATCCATCATCATTAATTTCTTTGTTTTGGAGGATAACCGACTGCATAGCTTAGGTGTGGAAACAATGCGGACATTTATAAGGCACCCCGGGAAAAGCTAGCGAGTGGTACTACCTCGGTCGACTGGTCCTTGTCTACCACCTTCTTTTTGCATGTTAGTGATGTTAAATAGACCTAAAGTGGCCCGTGTATATGTCTGTGTGTGTATATGTCTGTGTGTGTATATGTCTGTGTGTGTATATGTCTGTGTGTGTATATGTCTGTGTGTGTATATGTCTGTGTGTGTATGTCTCTGTGTGTGTGTGTATGTCTGTGTGTGTCTGTCTGTCTGTCTGTCTGCCGGTCTGTCTGTCTATCTGTCTATCTGTCTGTCTGTCTTTCTGCCTGCCTGTCTGTCTGTAGCCTGATCAGTTTCTCAGAAGACAATCAAGAGTTAACTTCGAAATGCTTCTGAAGATCCACTGGTGGTGGCGGAATGGCAACAAATAACAATCACCTAACCGGCCGAACACCCCAAGAAGAATGAATCGTTCGGACAATACTCACGAAAGTCTCACACAATCCACCCATTAGATTCCTATATCTTAAATTAGTTACCTTCAGCTGCTGGTGCAGCCTCTTCTTCTGCAGGACCCTCATCTGCAGGTTCGCCTTCCCCTCCTTCTGCAGGAGGTACTTTTCCTCCTTCCAAAGCTTCACCGTCTTCAGCTGGAGCTACTTCGCCTTCTTCGCCCATCTCTGCTCCTATCGGAAGTTCCGCAGCCCCTGCTTCTTCTGGTGATTTTGCACCTAATATCAAAATATTCAGTGTTCTTCAGCTGGTAAGTTTTACAAGCAACAGGAAGTAACATGAAAGTAAATATATTGACACAAGCATTAATTGAAAAAATTACTTCCGCTTGAGGGCTACGACACGGACCGATACGCACTTACATGCATTAAACTTATCACACTACTTATTTGCAATCGGAGGTTGAAAGAAATTTTCATTTTCATCTGGTCTACCGTTCTCACTATTATACAGATTTATCGTAAGGTGTCATTGGTTCCCATCCCAAAAAGCGGTACGGAGTCCCCACTACCATGTCTCATAGCCGATTGCAATTCACCCAGCAGCAGAAAGTGATAACATGTGTTCATGCAGAATTAAGTTCTCGGTGATCTGAACTCCGACCAATCGAAATAAACAGCTCTTTTTGTTCGTCAAGATACAGTGTGTGTGTGTGTGTGTGTGTGTGTGTTTTGGAATCATTAAGCTGTACAAGATTGTTGCGTCCCCAAGCAGTGATAACCTCCAGAGCGGAAGTCGCTGTTAGTCTCCTTTCATGCAGCTCATCGGCAGATCCGATTAGGTCATCCCAGTTATGGTCTGAGGGAGTGCGATAAAAGCAGCAAATAAATTTGGGGGTTGAAGTAACGTCTCTGGAGCAGGAAAGACTGCTCCGGACAAAAACCACAATTCCTCCGTTCTTCTTCAGATTGGAGTATTTTGGGAAGCAAGACGATTAATTGGTGCAGTGCAGTGCAATTTTCCTGAAACAAATTTTATCATCGATGTTGTTCCCTTGAGTCCACCCTCCAGTCGGAATGAGTTTACGTCAGGAAATCTTGATACGGAATCCATCATCATTAATTTCTTTGTTCTGGAGGAAAAGGAAAGAAGCCGGCGTGGTTTAGGTGTGGAAAGATGCAGACATTATTAAGACACCCTGGATAAAGCTAGCCAGTGGTACCGCGCGGACGATTGGTCCTTGTCTATCACCTTCTTTTTGCAGACCTGAAGTGGACCATTCGCAGACTTGTACCGCCACCTGGCAATAGATAAATGGGTATTCATTAACGCGTTTACAATCACTTGAACTGGAAGAAGTTTGTATAGTGTATACATTAACTTCCGGAGCAAGCATTTGCCAAATGTAAAATGTAAATACATAAAACTTCATAATTACCCAAAAGAATGATAAGATCTTTATCATTAATCAAGAGATTGATTGTCATAAATTATCGGAGAACTCCCGATATTTTGATAGTCAGATCTTGAGAATACCCGGTAGCCTTGAAACATAGGGCCCACAAAGAAGAGGGGCTTAATGTTTATTTCAGAATTAATAATAGTGAAATATCGGAGTGTTCAGGGAAGTAAAATATACTTACGTTCCTCAGCGGGAGCTTTTTCAGCAGGGGCTTCTTCAGCAGGAGGTGCTTCGGCTGCCTCAGCTGGTTGTTCATCTGGTGGCCGTGGTGATTCCTCTTCAACAGGTGACGGTGGCGGTGGAACTTCTTCACCGCATGTTTTGGGTGGTACACGTGCTCCTTCCTTTTCTACAGATGAAAACTCGGTTCAATGAACGAATGTATAATCGGTATTGAAGACTGAATTAAAAAAAAACAATAAATGCGGGAAAATGACATCTCACATAAAGGTAGTTAAAAATATAAAGAATGTGTTCTAATACCATCTTTAGATGCTCTCCTTTCTGCCTTCTTCATCCTACCTGGGGCGAACAGTTTGAACTCGGTCGGCATTTCATCCTCAGAGTACAGTTGATCGGTAAAGTATATCCTTCTGATTCGAACGTTGGCATGAAGCTGAACTCTCATCGTTTCCATATACGTTGATCCTAACAAAAACTTTTTCAAAATAGTTATGATTGTTGGTATTTTAGGTGTATAATGCACATTGCACATGATATAGAGAGCGAATCTACTTGACAACATTTTTTGAAAAGAGGACTATGACTATTACAGAGTTTTACCACCGAAATAGGACAACATAAAGTACCATCTTTTACCAGAAACGGACACTGTGAGACTGTATAGCAGCTATCGATTGGAACTGTTCAGTTCGCGTTTGATCACCACTGTGACCGCTAGCGGCTGACGATTCTGGCAGTGTAATAGATGTGGTATGCTCGCTACTGAACAACTAAACATGGTAGTTCCGTCCATCCGATCACAGAAGTTAACCATGGACAACATAAATCTATATCGGGATGTTCTTACCGTAAGCTCTTTTAGTGAAGTCTGCTAGATTGAATTGGACTTGGTTCCAACCAGCGCTCAGTCCAATCGGCATGGTGGTACAAAATGGGCTAACCTTCGTTGTAGACTGGAAATTGGATACTCTAAATCTCCTGTGCATATCTTTATCATCTGTAAGTATACGTGGGAATCAGAGGAATAAAATAATATAAACACCCCTTTTTGGAATTCTCTTTCCTATATTTTTTTTGTCAAAATTTTATTTTTTCAAGCAAAAAGTGCCCAACAAGCTCGAAGCCTCATATATGGCAGATAGAAGGTTAAACAAAAATTAAACGTTGACTTTGTCGCTGTGGAACGTAATTCTTGAAATGAGAGAATAGCTAGTAGAAAGTGTTCTATTATTACCTTTTTTGACAGCTTTTGACGATTATCTAATAGATTTGTAAATGCATCTATTTTCGGCGAAATATTCTGTTTCTAGATTTTCTGTATCAATAAATGTTCCATCACAAGGTTATTTCCGCCTTTAGAGATGAGTCTGTTGACAAAAACAGTGACTATTTATCAGCATTTAAGAATACAGTTTCCCGAAAGGTAAGACAACCACGCCCACTTTCTCTCAGTGATTCTACCTTCTTGTTTTCAAGAATACGGATCCTCTATTTTGATTTATTCTTTTATCTAACTGAACTAAAAATGTTCTGCAGATTTTTTAAGGTTAATCATTTTTCAATTAAACGACAATAGCAATTTACAGAACGATAAAAAACATCAATTTTTTAAAACAAAATATAAGTTTATAACCATACTGATAAAAATAAGAATAACAATATATACGAGGTTATCCAAAAATCTGGAAACGGTAAAATATTTTCGGAAGTCATGGATCCTTATTCATCAAATTTTGATTCGGAGTATTATCAAACATTTCCGGTCAGACAGTAATAATTTTTTTGCAACAACTCGACTTTTTTAAATCTAAATGCAATGAAATAATTTTTATTACCGTATATTAACTCACTAGCATCCCTTAGTATAACCTGCAAATCTCAGGGCTCCTTCTAGCTTACTTATTACCAATCTGCTGATTCAAATATGTAAGCCCAATCTTCCAATACAACGTATTTATTGATGAACGTTTACAGCTATTCTTTTATATAAGCTTCGATGACAAAATATTTGTCGGGCTGTCCGAGCGATAACAACACTCATCTCCACGACGACTGATCCGCATGATTAGTGAGCATAGTATATAAGCAAGAATATGCACTCTATCCTTTAGTTAGTCTAAGGACTAAGGTATTGTTAACGGCTCGGCCATCCTTCCATAAATGAGTACTCTCGTTTTAGTACATAATTAAGACATACAAAGTAACAACAAATGTGAAAGGTTACACTCGACATACAGGATTAATTAAATGAATATTAAGATTTGGCATATATCAATAATACAGTAAACTCCAGTGAGTTCAAATAAAGAATAACTTTTGTAATAAAGTTACCAAAATATTCCTTAATCTCTCTACAGCATTGTTGGATAGTGTCTTTATCTAAAACATCAGTTCATGACGCTGACTGATGTCCTTAGTCTATATCGATAGTCCATGACCTTGACTAATGATCTAATCTATCACATTGGTCAGTGACATTGACTGATGACTTACTTATTCAATCACGTTGATCCATGACGTTGACCAACGGATTGAGCTATAACATCAGTCGATGACCCTGACTGATGTCTTTAATCTATATCGATAGTCAGTGACCTTAACTAACTACATTAGTTCATGACATTGACTAACGACTTACTTGTCCAATCACGCTGATCGATGACGTTGACCAACGGATTGACCTATAACATCAGTCGGTGACCTTGACTGATATCCTTAACCTATATCGATAGTCGGTGACCTTGACTAACGATCTAATCTACTACATCAGTCCATGACATTGACTAATGACATACTTATCCAATCACGCTGATCCATGACGGTGACCAACGGATTGACCTATAACATCAGTCGGTGACCTTGACCGATGTCCTTAACCTATATCGATAGTCGGTGACCTTGACTAACGATCTAATCTACTACATTAGTCCATGACATTGACTAATGACTTACTTATCCAATCACGCTGATACATGACATTGACCAACGAATTGACCTATAACATCAGTCGGTGACCTTGGCTGATGTCCTTAACCTATATCAATAGTCGGTGACCGTGACTAACGATCTAATCTATTACATTAGTCCATGACATTGACTAATGACTTACTTATCCAATCACGCTGATACATGACATTGACCAACGAATTGACCTATAACATCAGTCGGTGACCTTGACTGAAGTCCTCAACCTATATTGATAGTTGGTGACTTTGACTAACGATCTAATCTTATACATTAGTCCATTAACACAAGGGTGGCTACTGTATTATATAGATGTGCTTAACTCTAGTCGACTTCATGAATGCCTTGAATGATTTGATTTTTCTTTTAGAACTTTTGTGCGAAATGATCGTCTTGTGTTGCAAACCGCAGTTGATATTAAAGTTTTTCATACAAGCGTCTATTATTAAGAGTTTCTACATTTTCTTCTGATAAATGAACCTAGAGGGTCAGCGTGAGTAGCATGAAATGGTATCGTCATCTTGGGGATTGAAAGTGGCCCTCCCTCCTTTTTGATGAAAAGCTGCATCTTGGGAAACCAACATACGAAACGATTTCGACTAAGTGTTTTATCAAATCCAACAATGTCTAACAACATGGTTGCGTTTGAAGATTTAACAACGTACAACCCTTGAAACAATCCAACGTTGAGTGTCTTTGTCGATGATTCGAAAGGCTCTGCGATCGATCAGCTTGTAATCTCTTTTTTTTTTTTGGTTACAGCTTTATTTTCTGGGTGCGTCTGATTTCTCAAGTTCTCAGCGATATGTCTGATTTCAGGGTCAATTTGCTGACTTGTCATTATCCAATTTTTAGAACTTATGGGAAGATATCACATTAGTTTCGTTAACTCCAGTATAGGACCTCTACCCAGTTAGTCAACGTGTGCCATTCTTTCGCTGGGCCTATATCCAATTCAGCAGTCAAATACTAAGAACTTTATCCACCATGCTTAATAGTTAGACCGTCTTTTTTTAATGATTACATGACTTTTTCTAATCTCATCATATCCTTCTCCAAGGAGGCGGCTGGAATAAGAGTATCATCCATATATTCTAGAGCATATTTAACGCAAGATTACTGTAATATTTTGTTCATGGTCCTCTGAAACACCGTAGGTGCGTTTACGAGTCCGAAGGGTCTATTGTGCTCATACTGACCGACTCAATTTCTCTGCATTTGGTATTTGGTAATAACCAGAGGCTAAATCAAGTGTGATAAACAGACAGCGGCCAGCTAAGGTATCTAAAAGGTCGTCAGTCCTGGGCAAGAGGTAGTGTTCGCACCTTGTTTTTCTATTGAGAGCTCTATATTCTACGCATTGTCTCTTTTCGACTGTTCTCTTTTGCACTGATACAATTAGACTTGCATATGGTGGTCAAGGAATCTCTGATTACGTTGAAATCGAGCATGTACTTTTTTCAATAGCATTTTTAAAGCGTCTCTATGTTCTGGTGTTAGTACATCTCCACACTTATAAATATTAATAATCGAGTTAAACATACGTTATTTGTATTTAAATTGATTCCTAGGATAACCACGACCCTAAAGCTTACCTTTGGGAATTAGTAAATCATTTTTAGATAGATTTTTCACTAGTATATCAGCCAGACCACATTTAAATTCATATTCACCAGAGAGTAATATTCTGCACTTGTAAGGCCTCTAACGGTTCCATTTGCATAAACTCTTCCACTATAGTCACTGCTTCCAACGGGTATTGTACAAATTGCGTCAATTTTTACTATGGAAGCTGCACTACATACTAACTAAACTTTTGAATCATCATCGCAGTTTTGATTATTCTAATCGAGGGTCTTTGAGTGTAAGCATGTCCTAGTAGAAGATGACTATTGAGGTTTCATTAACTATTATAACCTCTACATCATATTTAACAATACCTTGTACTTCGATGGTAACAAATGCAAATCCCTTGGGGCGATATGGGACACCACCTGGTCTCACCAATAAGGGTACTTCAACGTTCCGCCATTTTAGTCAATTTTTTTCATCTCTAAATCGCAGCAAGGTGCCATCGCGGCCAAGTTCAACGTGACAGTTAATAATATGAAAATTTATTTTAACTAGCTTTCTGTACTACCAGCTAGAATCGAGAAAGCTGTTTACATTGAAGACTGGTTTAGCTTGTCATTTAAAATGCCACCCTGTCACATTGGTCCTTCTTAGAACATTCTGAATCCGCGTGACCTCTAAATTTACATACAGAACATTGGACTTTTGGTTTTGGAGATTTAAAGGACGGGTGGCCTATATCATGACAGTTATAACAAGTAGTACGGTTATAATTCGGAGCCACCTGTAAATCCTTAGTAGGCACCGAACTATTACTGCGTTTATCATAGCTCTCTTGACGCGATTAGCATTGTTTTTATTTTGATCAACTGTACAGATTTTAAGAACTTTAGTAGATGTTCCACGTCTGTAAATTCTGCTGCTTGAGCACCTAATCTAACACCGCGGTCATCAATACCTGCTATCAGACAATCCACTGTTTGACTCCCACTAATTCCACGATTTAGTAGATTTATCTTTGAATAATGGTATAGCTTTAATGATTCTCCAAAGTGAACTCTTTTATTGAGCATCAGTTAACAAATCAGCCTAGTTTTCCCTAAAGAGAAATTATTCTCGAAGATTAACCTTCCATTTAGACCGGCTAAGAAGCAAAGTAGGTTGACCCTGATACCAAGACTTGGCTACACGACACAACTTAGGAAGAGCATAATCGTATGTCGGTCACCCCAGATATATATCTGAGCACATTCTTGAAAAGTGACATTATGTCGACTTCTTTTGACATTATGCTGTTTTTGTTTTTGACATTATGTAGGTTATTCTACAAGATGTTAACTTAGCACTCAGTTGTACGTGTTGCCTGAACGTCATGAGGCTTGTTATCAATCTTTGGCCTTGATGTGATGTAAAATCTGCTTCTGAGATGGCATTACTGAAGGTCTAAGCTCTAAGTTGTATGTGTTGTTGATAATTACATTGGGTTATTGTCTCAAATACACTTAATTTAGATTGAAAGTTAGAAATTAGTTGCGCATCCACTTTTTCACTTATACATTCTGGAAATTACATATACAAATTTGCTGAATTTCAAAAATGAGAGAGATAAGAAATAATTATATTCACTGTACACTGTCGAATTACAAGCCATATACAAGCTAACAGTAATTACACACATCGCAGGCGCGGTGATGATTTCCCGTAATTCTCCTCAATTTATAACTTTGAACATAACTTCTCTTAAGAAAGCACAACATATAAATAACTCGTCATATTCGGCATATTCAGTAATGATTTTCTCACACAGCAAATATCACTGATTTTACACACATGCAGACCAATACACATAATCATCAGATGCGATCTTGCGATTCAACCAACTTTCTTCTTAGAGATAAAAACTATAGACAATGACCATTTGGCCTCACAAAACTATGCAACCAATAATGCGTGTAGCTTTTTGTTGAGTGATTCCTCCATAGATGGACGTTCACAACGATCCTAGTGAGCAAACGTGGAATGACTGCTTGCGCCCTAAAAAACTACCTAGTCGGCAAGTTCATAGTTTTTTTTTGACATTTTGTAGGTTTTTTACATGATCCCCGTGCCGGTCTGATAACCTCCAGACAATAGTTCTAACCGCGCTATTGCTAGATGTATTTTTTCGGATACAATAATACATTTCTAAATTTGAATGCAGTAGTATGTTTTTTAGTATCGGAAATTTACATTCTAGCTGCCCTTAGTGCTTCATAATTTTCAAATAGCAGAAACCAATCTAGTCGGCTTATGAAGATGTGGCAACGTAATCAAAAGTTTAGAGCTATGTATATTGAATATTTTGACAATTACTGGACCGATATCTACCAAATTTTGAACAGAATCACAACATCCTGACCGACGATAATAAGGTAATAATTACATTGTTGCTGGATTTATCATCTATTCAGAAGCAACGCCACTTTCACAGTCTTACTACTTACATATAGCGAATACTAAGGAGTAGTAGAAGAAACATTTGAACAGTAGTGTATCTTTCCATAAGTTTTAGAGTTGTTGGGTGTGCTTTTTGGCTATAGCAGATCATGGGTACGACTTCAAGTTAATAGCTATCCGCCTTCTATAAAGTAATCGCCGCATGAAAGTGAATGAAAGGGCGTTGCTGGTTTCCAACAGCGACCTGTATCATTAAAACTTCATCTCACCTACATGCCAACCGTACACTTCAATAAATTGCGAAAATGGCAGAGCACCGCTCAAAGGTTAATAACTGTGTATCTTGAACCCCAATTAAAAGATTCAGGGGGGTAGGTCACGGGTCAGACCACCTACGGACGAATGTACAATTTAATTTACGATGAAAATATTTTGGTTGTTGTCTCTCATCTCACAGTTCTGATTGATCGCCTTTCGTATCTGCCTGGAGTCTAAAGTAAACATTGCAAAAACCTCCTCCGATGCAAGGAACCCTAGTTCAATGAATAAAAATCGAGTGATTGTTATTTCTTATAAAATGGGGGTAAGTGCTTGAAAAGCGATAGATAAAAACTTAAGGTATAGCTTTTACTTCTAGCAATTGAATAAAATTAAACTCTCTGAATCACCAACAATGTATACAATAACAATACAGCTGTATAATGGTAAGAATAATAATAATAATAATAATAATAATAATAAGCCTTTATTGCCCAACAGCTTATCGCCAATAACAGAGCAATTTATAAAAATAAAAGTTAGCTTAAAGGTATTAAGTATATGTATATATACAGGGTGGACGGAATATCACTCATAAACAAATTCATTTTGAGAAAATCCATTTATGGTGTTATGCACGACATTTGAGGGCACATTTCTAAAATATTGGCAAATATACAGGGTGTCCCAATTTTGACCTACATATCAACGTTGTGATTTTTTAAATGGAATGCCTCATATTTTATTGCATATTTGGATAAACCAATCCAAAAGAAGATTGATATAACATACTATGGGGTTTTGGTAATTAGCTACTGAGATGTAAAGAGTTTTGTCCAGAAAAACCGTCTACTTCAATTTCAAATGCATCACCCTGTATATTTGTGCAGGTTTGGATTCAATTTTCTATAAGCTTTTTTTTGGTATGAGGTTTGATTCAGATAAAATCACTAGATTTTGAGTTATTAAGCTTTTAATTGAACAACACACCAAAATTAAGGAAAAACATCACATTATCCATGGAAACAAAAGAGAAACAGTGGGTTCGTTCCATGTTACCACTACGAGTACAGATTAGAGGTAAAAACTAATAGAAATCAGAACAGTATAAATCAGCTTCAAGCGTAATAGAGAAAAACAGCTGTAACAACAACATAAATAAACAGCTATCACTACTCAAGGCCTAATCTACAAAAACTGTTTGAAAATATCTCCAACATGTTTAATACACAGCCGTAGTCTTTCGATTAATGACCGTTGCACATCCCTCAGCATGTGTGCCCTTATGTTCAGAAAAGCATCCTTAATCCTTTCCTTCATATTTTCCGGGGTAGATGGTGGATATCTATGAACCTCTTGCTTAACGTAGCCCCATAGAAACAAGTCCATCGGTGTCATATCTGGTGATCTAGGAGGCCAAGGTATAGGCCCATCACGACCGATCCAACGATTGTTACTCCAGGTGTCCAAATAGTTACGCACACGATTATGATAATGCGCAGGTGCGCCATAACGTCAGAAGTACATATATGCATCCGAGTTTGCAGGCTGACATCCTCCAAAATCAAATTTGTACTCTTAGTGGCAATATGATGTGATTTATTCCTTAATTTTGGTGTGTTGTTCTATTAAAAGATTAATAACTCAAAATCTGGTGATTTTATCTGAATCAAACCTCATACCAAAAAAAAGCTTATAAAAAAATGAATCCAAACTTGCACAAATATACAGGGTGATATATTTGAAATTTTGTGAGAAAAACTACAATTTGCGTTTTTGACCACCCCCAACTAGCAAAGTAGTGCTATAAGCTTTTGGTAAAAGAACCGTTCAGCCATAAAAGCTCTCTATTGTTGTTGTCTGAACATCAAAATGCTGGCTTAATGTTGTGTGGAATGCAAATTTGCTTTCTGCAACATATTTGCTCTAAAATGAGGTGTTTAAAATATTCATATAGCATAGTTGCACAACACCTTATAGGACAAATTTTTAACTGATGCATAAACGTTTATACAACTATTTTATACGGCATATTTGCAGGTTAGTCAAAATGGTTATGTTGTGGCATCCATGGTAACGTTTATAAAACAAACCCGAGCCTTGTTCTTTTGCTGTGCAAAGTTACCACTTTAGCCAACAAATTGCTCCCAACGGAAGCACTTATACAACTGTTGTTTAGTAACTGCTAAATATGTCGGTATACAACTTCACCATAACCTAACTTTCTGCTGTCATATTTTAGTTAAAATGCCATAACCGATGTTTTAAGACAAACAACGCATGCATATTGGTTAAAAAGGTTTTATCAACTGTTCAAACAGAAGATATAGATCTGGTACAAATTCTAGGTAAATCATTCGACTCTGTCGGTATTTCATTTCTGCCAATTGTCAAATTCTTGTATAACACCTGCAGGCAACACCAAAATATTCTAATAAACTAAAGACAACATGGACGATGCCATGATTATACACAACCACCCGCCATATTGGGCAAACATTTATTCCTCTATCTGATATTAAATAATTATGTTTCAGTTCGAAATTACAGATATAAAGTGGTAAACATTAGTGTAATTGTGTCTAAATATAGGATTTGTGGAAGATTTAACGCAGATAAATTCAGTTTTCCATCTTAAAAATCTAGACATACTTTTGATCATTATCAAAATATGAATCAAATACGAAGCCCGTAGAAATTGCGTAACTACTTTGCACGATAATCACAATAAAATTTGCTGCGCAAGTAATTCAATAGCCCTACATCATAGTGTAGAAGTTTATCATATACCTGTGTATGAAATTCACAATGGCCGATATGTAAGTAAACAAGATGACTGAGTTGTGTTAGTTATTTATTCTTCACTTCGTCTATACAGTACATAAAAAATAGTTTGGTTGCAATAAAGTATAATCACGTATCAAAATGCCGAAGTGGGAGGTTTTTTCTAGACAAAATACTTTATTTCTCAGTAGCTAATTACCAAAACCCCATAGTGTTATATCAATTTTCTTCTTTTGAATTGATTTGTCCAAATATGCAATAAAATTTGAGGAATTCCATTTGAAAACTTTGATATGTAGGTCGAAATTGGGACACCCTGTATAATGGACAATATAGTAGAAATGTGCTCTCAAATGTCATGTATAACATTCCATAAATAGATTTTCCCAAAATGTATTTGTTTGTGAGTAATATTCCGTCCACACATGGATGGGCCACCCTGTAAATATATATATATATATATAAAATGGTAAGTCTTAACTTAGAAAACGTGTCTTATTCTTTATCTCATTATAATTGCAAACAAAAATGTCACAGTCGTTAGCAATTTTATTGACATTGTTACTCATGATATTAACTGGTGCTTTTGATAATAAGTCAGCTGCGAGAGAATTTGGGGACAGTCTACTTAAAATCAGTACAGAAAATTGATTCCGTCGCTGCTCTAAAGATTGAAACTGAAACTTTTGTAAAAGGTGTTTGTAATCGGAACCTCTTGCAGGGTATACTCCATCAGTTTTGAAACTGAGAAGCTTCAAAAATTTTTTCTGAATTTTATCAACAACATCAACATATTGCTTATAAATAGGGCTCCATATAAGAGATCCGTATTCAAGTTTTGACCTTATCAGGCTGAAAAATAAAGATCTCAATGTACAGATATTGTCGAAGTTCCTACAGTTTCTAATTATGAAGCCATACGTTTTCGATGCACTAAAAATTATTTGGTTTACATGATAATTTAAGGTGAGTTCCCCGTCAAAGTATACACCTAAATCTCTCATAGTTTCACAACGCTCCAAGACAGAATCCTTATTGTGTAGTTGTAAAATATAGGATTAGTCTGTCTAGAAAAAATGAGTACTTTACATTTAGAAATATTTAGAAAAAGGTTGTTATTTTTACACCATCTCAGTACAATGTTAATTTGTTCTTGCAACATAGCACAATCCTCTGCCGAGGAGATAGTAGAGAAAAACTGTAAATCGTCAGCAAACATCAACTTCAGACAGCCCAAAGAGACACATAAATCATTGACAAAAAGATTGAACAGTAGGGGTCCTAAGTTGGAGCCTTGAGGAACATCGCTGGTAGAAATGTAAACATGCGAATAGTATCTATTGTAAAAAACATAGTGTTTTCTTTCAGGAAGGTAGGAAGTCAAAATCGCAATATAAGTACTATTAAAAGTATCGAAGCTTACTAATCAATATATTATGGTTAACCTTATCAAAGGCTTTGGAAAAATCCGTGTAAACCACGTCAATCTGGCCTCTGTTATCCAATCTTTGGCATAAGTATTGACTGAACTCCATTAGATTGGTTAAAGTTTAGCGATGCCTCATAAAACCATGTTGATGGATCGAAATATGGTCTTTCACGGACAGATGTATTCGGTTATACATTAGCGCCAATAATACACCTGTTGTTAAATTCAGTTCATTATATTTTCAATTTTTTCGGTGTATATCATAAATGTGCGGAAACAATTCGAATGAGTTCACTTCATTTTTTAACCATGTTTCACTTAAAGCAACGACACTAAACTCACAATCACTAACCGCTGAGAAGAATGTATCTATCTTGGTGTTGAGACCTCTGATATTTTGGTAATAATGGTAGTAGATTATGTGGAAGAATTGGATCAAACTGACATCTACAAGGTGATCAATATATATCTAACTGAAATTTGTTCGTCCAATTCCTTTAAAATGGAATATAATATCCAATTTATGTATCTTATTGTTAGTCTTCTTTAGAAAGTTAGTAGTTATGTTTGAAAATAATGAGATATAAATGATCACCTAAAGAAGCAGCACAAACCGGTCTAAGCCTCTTGCATCAACTTTTGGTAGGTTTCGAGATGAATATTTTAATAGCCTCCCGAATATTACTCTGCAACTACTATACAGGTACTATACTGTATAGTTCTTGGTTTGTTGACAAAAGCTCAATTTCTCCGAAATAAATCGGATAAGATCGTATAATAGCGAGATCAAAAAGTAAGGATCTGATGACATTATTCTCTATCACTGCCAACTGCTACCTCGATATCAAAGCGTTCATCTATTCGTCCTTATCTATCAGAGCGCTCCGTAAGACCAATGCTCTTGGTTAAAGTATTGTAAGTCAGTATTTTTGCCAGATACCAGACAAAGTTTGGGAAGAAGAGAAGAAGAAAGGAGGAAAGGAAGGAGGTGGAACAAAGAGTAGAAAGTGCGTCAGTTTGACGTCTTGGCATTGTTTTTTAGAACACGGAAGTTTTAAATTGATTTAGGTATTGGTTGTTGAAGCAAAAATGTGATTTTGGTTAGACCTAAAGTCGCCCTATTTAATTTTGTTCAATGCGAGCCACGGTCTTGTTTGCTGACAAACTTGCTCGATTGTGTAGTCTACTGACTCGAAACATGATTTGGAATTTAGTTTTTAACGCTTCAGTGTGCTTCTGCCATGTCATCCCCTTGTCAAAAGTTCAGCCGCTACGTTTTTAGTACATATAGGCTGCGTTTTCGAATGATTAATTTTGATCAGCTACCGATCCGCCCATTCCAATACCACGTCAGGATCTTAAGTATAGAGATAGACTAAACAGTTGATGTGCTATGAGTAAAGGATTGGTCCAAAATATGAACCGAAGGACACCGGCTCTGATGGGCCATGTCGTGTACAAAACATTGTTAATATTTTGATCCATCAAATGCCTTCGAGACATCCAGAAACAAGATGCCAGTACTTTTATTAGATGTGAAGTTCTGGCTACTCGCTCAATAAGCTCAACTGCCTGTAACTCCCTAATATGATCAGACCAAAAGCCAAATTGCACGTCACGAATCACATTGTGATTGAAATTTTTAAGGTTACGAAGAATGACCTTTACAGCGAGCTCGGAAGCAGCTCACAGTAGACTAGTGGAACGGTGATCCTGGGGAAATATCGAACCCACCCACTTTGGAATCATTATAACATCAGCGATCTTCCAGGCCGCCCTCTACTGGGTCCTTAGCATGGTATTGATTGTTGTCCCGAGATAAGTTAAGGACTTTCGCGAAAGCAGCTGCAGCGCCCTATAAATGATGTGATGCTCTCCAGGTGCTTTATGCACCTTGAGGTGTTTAATATGACCTTGAAACTCTGCTGGTGTGCAAAGAGGGATCTCGGAAGATTCTGCTGATGTGTCATACAACTAAAGAAGAAGACCCCTCTGCAGAAAAATCATTGAGAACGACGCCACTACCACTGACGCCGCTGCCCATATAATATCTTCTGAAGGATCTTATGATGTGTTGCTCCTCGTCGAGATTATTAACAAGTTCATAGTTGGAAGCGAACTGTCTTTTAATAGCATCAACGAAAACCTCGACCTTTTCTTCTGTCCTAAAGGCTATATTTCCAGATAGGAATTTTTGGGTTAAGCATCTCCACCAGAAAGTCGTCCCATTTCCCGTTACGGATTTCATGAAGAGCATTTCTCGCTTCATGAACAAGATTCGTCGCTCGATGAATGTCATTGGGATGGCAGTCCTTTTCGCTTGCTTAATTGCAGCTCTGTTGTCAGAAATTGACTGACGAATGTCTGCAGGGAGAAAAGGTCTGCAGCTTCGTTGTACTGGAAGTACAGCTGCACGCCAGAGCTTTCTGAACTGCTCTTAGCAAGCACACAAGGCCGCGACTCGCACTGTGAACAAAATTAAATCGTGTGACTTTTATAATTTTTCTTCAACAACCAATCCCAAAATTAATTTTAGGATCAATTTAAAATTACCGAATACTAATTAGCAATGCCAAGTCACCCCTCAAATTGACACACTTCTTTTTCTTTGCTCTCCCTCCTTCCTTCCTTCCTTTCTTCTTCCCTTCTTTCTCCCTGACTTTGTTTGGTATCTGGTCAACCAGACCTAGTAGTAGTAGTAGTAGTAGAAAGATTTATTTAGCACATTTGGCTACATAAACAGAACAATTGTAAACAACTTAGAACTAGTAAATTCAAGCCATATGGTGTATGATGTAAATGCTGGGCAACCTATAATTGTATATTTAACAAGTGATTTCTCAATTTTACTTTAAATTTTGTCAAAGTTTTCTTGTCTTTTATCTCCGAGTATAATTTATTATATTCAATCAACCCTTGATGGAATACAGATTTGTAGCATATGTTATACTTTTTGGTCATTAAATGGAAGTCATCTTTATTTCTGGTATTATGTAAATGATGGTCGACATTTGATGATGTTAAAATAGTTAGACTTGATGGAAATATATTATTCTTTACTTTATAAATGAATATCATTACAAGATATTTGATAAAATTTCTTACATTGAGCCATTTTAATTTGCTAAGCATTTGCCTAATTGGAGTATATTTATCTTTATTTAGTATTATTCTCATGCACTTATTTTGTAAAATTTGCAGTCTTTCAAAAATGGAATTATTTGCTAAATATAGACCTACTGACTTACAAGACTTCAACCAAGAGCAAAGGTCCTACGGACCGCTCTGAGAGCCCTGCTCAATGCTAGTATTTGAAGTCCCCTGTCACAATAAGTGGACCCGAGCTGTCAAAAAGGACTTCCAGGCCCGGACGAGTATCACGTATCTTGGAAAGTGACATTATGCCGATTTTTTTTACATTATGCTAGTTTTTTTTTGACATTATGTAGGTTATTCTACAAGATGTTAACTTAGCACTTAGGCATTTTGAGCAATCACAAAAAGGTATCTCAATAAGCTACACGAAATTTAACATTTATCTGACACCATAAATGTACGAAAACTGAATGCTTCTTTATCACCAAACAATACACGCAGCCACCACATAGACTTTACAGAAGAACCTGACCATTTTATCACTTGGTGTTCATGGCAAGATAAATCTATATGTAAAAAATTCTTGAATTCTAATAAACATACGTAGGTGTTTACTTTTTTGTCACTCAGTATAGGAGAAAAAAATCAAGTTATGCAATATTGCTATTTCTTTGGTCGTTTATATTAAAGAAATACTTACCTAAAATTTGTATCTCAAACGTGAAGTACTTCTTCATGTTCTTGATCACCATTACAAGAAAGGGCAGCTTGATTCCCAAGGATGCTCTGGGTTTGATAGGACATGTTATGTAAGTGGTGCCGACATTTGTTCCGGATACCTCCAAAACTAGCGACTTAACTTCATCGTCCAGCACCCTACGTATGTGTCCGTTTTTAACCTTAAAATATCAGAATGCCTTAGTGCTAAGCCAAGGCGAATGTCACGCAGGACTGGCTACAGGCGGTAAACAAGTAAGGCAGACGCTTCAGGGGCAGTGTGATGGGGAGCGCAATATCATCAATCCTCAATTAATGTGAGAGGAGGGCGCATATTTTTCCCTTTGCCTCAGAGCGCACAAAGCTCTGATGTCACGATTAGTATTTACTATGGCTATCAGTATTTACTGATCTTTTCGCCATGGTCATTGTTTTTGTACTTAACCTTGTCAAACATCAATAAATAAGGAGTATGAATAACTTTTTTGTATCATCTATAGATTATTTATGTTAATATAATACCGTAAGCATATATTTTATTCATAGAAATGTCTATATTTATTTTTAATTAAATATTTAAAACTGCAATGCCGGTAATGTTGATTAAAACATCGCGTTTCTGACGAGCTTCGCAGTGTCGTCAGAACTCATTGTTTGTCATTTGATTGTACTTTTGTTTAGGCTACTGTCAAATTTTTGACAATATCGTCTGTTTACCTATTATTTATAGGTTATGTTTATTACTACAACATTGAACAGCTGGAACATCAAACTGACAATAGAGAACGAGCCCCTTAAATTAGACTGACCAATCAACAAAGGCTTGGCTGCAAATGGTGAAAGTGAAATTTGCGTTTTGACAATTTAAATTTACCGCGTATTATTCCATTTTTTAATACTCGTAATTTTATAACGCTCAAGTCATTCTGTAGCAATATAAGCTGTGAACAGAAATAATTAAGCGATATTTGAATCACATGCATATTGCTTATTTCTGACGTCCTGTTTACACGATCAATAAATATTACATTCCATAATAAATATTATATTCATATATTCACCTAACCTGGTGTAACAAATAAATACAAACGTTTCATAAGTCGATTTAAACATAAAGGGCGCCAAAGTGACTTTACCGCCCTGGGACGTAAAGAAGCTGGCGGATTAAGGGTGCAGACACATTAAGGGGAAGAGAAGCGAATGTAGGGAAGCGAAATTTCTCAGTTACACGTTATCAACTAGTGACAGTTATGTGATTTCTAGTTCATTTCGGTCAATAGAGGGCACGTACACTAAAACAATTCACGCAGGGGCGCATCCAGGGGATATCCAGGAGGTCCGGACCCTCTCCCTTCGAAAAAAATTCTAACCTGCTTTTCAATTTGCAAACAACCCCCCTCCCGCTCTACAATTTTCAATTGCTGATTACCCCCGAGACGGAAATCTTTCTGAAGATGAATCCTGAGCCCCCAGCACTTTCTTTAGCGGAAAATTGTGTGGACCCCCAAAAAATACTTTCTAGAGCGTAATCATGCGCCAGAGCGGAGCAAGGTCAGACGTGGTTAGCATTATTTGGATGGATACCCGCTTGTTGATTTTGTTACCTGTGCATAAAATCTTTAATGAATAATAAATATCTTTGATTAGGGCTTCGGTAGAACGGTTGTATTTTTTTAGTATCACAGATGAAAGACCAGAAATAGACTATAAGCCGAAAAAGTTCAAAAAATGTTTTTAAATGAAAATCTGTAATTTACATTTTAGCATTATTTAAATTTTTCCAATAGCTCAATGCATGATATATTGTATAAAAGTTGCTAATTTTTATTTCTTTTAACCTTTGTAACTAATCGCATTTATTATCCCATTCGATACCCTTGAAAGAAACCACCATCTTATCCGGGCAACCGGATATACAACCTTCTGCTTATTTGTTTGTCTACGATTGTGCCCCGTCTCCTATATTGTTCTCGCTCGTTCACTTAAAACTAGTTTGCCTGGATCATCGAGATCCTGTAATACCAGTCGTACGTAGTAACCGAGTGAACGAGTTGTTCAAGGAATGAACTAGTTTACTGAAGCGACGTGAAGCACAGCGTCGTGTTACGTTTTACAAGTGCAAATGACAAATGTCGCCGATATTCTCTCCGCAGTGTGCGTACGGAATAAAAAGTATGGCTTGACGTCCGGAAAAGCTACTCATAAAGTATAAGTCCGGCTGAAGCTGTTGGGTAAATTTAGCTGGAAGTAATAAAGGTTATGAGAAGTTTTATCAAAAGAAGACAGCACAAAGCATCATCTATTACCCGAATCGGACACTGCGAGATTGTGTAGCAGCTATCAGTTGGAACAGTAAAATCTCAGTTCGCGTTTGATAGCCGAGTAATCACAGTGATCGCTAGACCGCTGACGATTCTGGCGGTAATAGTAGATCAAACTAAACATACTGTTTTCGTCCATCTGACTACAAACAGTCAACCATGCTGTCTCAGAATCCAAGCCTAGACCATGCTGATGAGTTGTCAAAAAAGCACGAAACAGCTGCCCATGATTGACTGTATATGGTTTGATGGACTAAAGCAGCATGTTTAGTTGACGTAAGGAGTTATTTTGAGAAATTAAACTAAACACGGAAAGACAAATTGTTTGGACAGAGCTGTGCAGTCTTTTCATTTAATTGTCTACTTCGTTTGATTTAATAGGGAAGTAATTATATTTCGCCAATGTGACCCTGTCATTCTTCTCCTAAATTAATTTCATAAGCTTTTGAGAAGCAGTCGGCGAGACATATATCTCATTAAAATTGATTTAAAACCCTCATCAATCTATAGAAAATTGAATTTCTCTCAGGAACGCCCTCTTGTTCCTTCGCTTTGTTTTTGATAGACATCGATTTCGGTTGGATTCTATAGAGTGTTCTCTAAAATGTTGGATATTAGGTGCTCCTTGATATTCAATAGCGTCTATAAAGATGGAAACAGTTTTAGCACGCCACGTAAACTCACGAGATATCACGGAAGTTATCGACGTAAACTCACGATACGTAAAGCTCCACTTACGTGAAGGGCTGGATGTATTAGGAAATATACTTAGACAAAACTGTTGTCCCGTGCACCCATACTTCTGTCAACTCTTCAATCTATGTTTAGATACGTGAATTTTTGTGATAACACGTGACATGAAAATAATGTGTTTCTGGCTTAACATTCAAGCGTACGGTTAAGATAGTATAACGCACTCGTAACTAGAACTTTGTGACATACCCTCGTACATCAACGCTTGGTCAACCAGAATATAGGAAGCGTTCGCGGCGTCATCGAGAAACATCGGCACCCGCCACCTCGACAACTTCCATCAAGGCTCGCATTCTGTCTGGAAGCCTCTGGATTGGTCGATTTGGAATAAATAGGCACGCCGATGGCAGAAGACGAGTATCGACAGCGGACGATGTCCAGACGACATATTCACACGTTCGTAATAAATCAGTTGCAGGTGTTGTAGTAAATTATTGAGAGAGTAATAAATAATTAGACTTTAACAAAAATAGTATTTTCGGTACAAAGAAGGACTATGGGCAGACATTCATGGTTACCAGCACTCCGCCGAAAAGCGATTTAGACTTAGCTGGCCTCCATCTTGGAATATTTTTTATTGGGAGTTACACGATACAACATTTTGAAGCTCCATATGAGTACTTATAGTATATAATCGAAATTTGATCGTTTTTGTACATTGAATCGCTTATAACTTGACAACCAATCACCAAAACGCTACTATAGCATTTTGATTCAATTTGACAGTCCGTAAATATTGGAAGATAGTAGGTTTAAACTCTCTGGTTATAAATTACTCATAAGGAGTTTCAAAAACAGGTATCATATGTTGACCACCCATACCATTTTAAAAAAAAATGTCATCTTGCAACCTCTTTTACAGCAGAATATAGTATTCATGCATCAGTTTCATCACCCCGAATTTCATTTTGCCAAACTGGCCCGTTCAAAAAATAAGCAGGATGGGCGACCTTTTTGAAAAGCACTATAATTGAACCCACTGGTAAGGAATTTTTGGTAAGTGGAGGATTAAAGTGGCTTTTCGTCCATCTCATTGTTATTCGTCAAAGTACAAACCATGAAAATTTTCCTACTTCCGCCAATGAAGGAAAAGGTGTCATAGAAATTATTCTGATGATATAAAGATGTTGGCCTGATAAGTATCATAATATTGTTAGAGGGAGTATGGTGAATTATGTGTTGTCTTCGGTTGTCTTAATACATTTAAATGATTGAGTTTCAATTTTGGTAGTCTTCATTTAAACAGCCAATATAAATATTTTTATTCAACTTTTCTTAAATTAGTCTACTAAAAATACTAGTGAAAGAACTCACCTTTATCACGAGAAGTTTCCAAAAACTAGATCATTTTAATTAATATCGCTGGGCGGCAAACGTATATAAGACAGTGACAATCTGCACCATTTTCAGCCATTTTAAATTTACTTCCAAAGGAAACTGTCAAGCTGTGTCAACTTCATGACCAATAAGAGTAGTCGTTCAACTGTGGCTTCAAGCTATACTGAGTGTTGCTGCTGCTGAGTTAATATATATGCATGATACCGAAGAAAAAATTTAAAAACCAGATCTCAACGGAAAAATCAGATACAATGGAAGTTTACATTGATGGAAACTTGGAAGAAAATAAACACTTAAAACAGAAATAAGACGAAAAGGATAAACTAATACTACAGTTGAGCAATGAAAATGGAAGACTACAAGAACAGTACAATTCAGCGACATCAGCCATATACGAAAAAGGTACTGTTGACACAGTGATAAATAGAATAAATGAAGGATTGACTGAAATTGAGAAAATTAAAGAGAAATCATATGCCCAAGTACTGAAAGGAGATACTCCAACAATCAAGAAAGACCCAATGAAGAATATAATTGTCACACTAAATGGTATCCAAACATATCGTCGGCTTTCTCACGAAGTGTCCTAACCAACGTTTAGTAAGTTTTACAGGAGATCAAGAAAACGAAATCAGGGTATTGTTGAATGAGCATTGTATGTAAAGTTTAGATATTTCGGAATTGAACATGTCAGTGCATCAACTCATATTCATTGTCGATCATATGCTGTTTCAATATTTACGCTAGCTTATCAAGTTATTTTGGAACAAAATGGAAAACGCACGTAGGTCACTTCGTGACAATTTTCAGAAGCTTTTTGTCACATAGGGCTAAAATATATTCTTATTATTACAGATATACAGAATTTAGTTCATTTACTTATAAGCAAAGAATCATATTTACAGCCAAAGGGGCGATTATCTCAAAAAATGTGTTGATTGATAATTTGTTAAGTAATCGTTGGTCTGCTGACAGCAGAATTTTTGTAAAAAAGTTCAGATCGACTTTTGAATTTTGGCTACCTCCTACAACATGTCTCAGAGTGTCCAAGCCCTTAATTGATGTAGATTATGACACAAATATTAGGTGATAAGATGAAGAAAGCAACTCGAAACGTCAAAGCAATTTCTATTGAAATAAAAACTAAAAGAAAAACAACTAACTTAAACATTATGTTTTGACATATTACCAGCTAATTTTGATGTGTTATAATACACAAAAAAACAAAAGCAACAGTTTTAATACTTATTTCATTCCGTTTCATGGGGCAAATTTCTAAAAAAGTGTTGGAATTCTGGTAAGCGTACGACAGGTGTTGGATTTTCACATAAGGAAATTTAGTCGGAGTATTTCTATTTTGTTATTTTTGCTGGTTCCTTATTAAGTTGTAGTTTAATATCATTTATATTATTACTATTTCTCAACGGTCTTTTTAACTCAATACTGTCATAACTAGTATCGTGGTGTCTAGACTTGAAAAATATTTTGGTGGGCATGTCTTTTCTTACCATAAAGTCCATAATACCCGTCCATTTAATATTTTGCCCTTTCTCAGTTTGTCTTGTGGACAACATTCTTAAATCTTTTGAAAGTTCCGTGAAGTCAAAATATTCATTGGGATTACTAAAACAGGTTGACGTCTTCTGGCCAATCGAAAAACCGGATAGAGTTGTGAGACTTCAAAAAGTTCTCCAGCTCCCTTTACCGCAGTATGAATTGCACTGTGGACAGAGTCTCCCTTCACTTTAGCCATGATTCGGCCACCGAGGTGCATATACTAGCAACGATTATAGCATACTATGAGACCTATCCTCATTTAGGTCTCTTCGTGGGAATTATATATTTACCTTGACAGATAAGACACCCAGGAGTTAATGATTTGTTACCTATACTAATAGATATATAGTTATGCCTCTAAGTCAGATTAACCGGCATGAAATAATACACCTGTATGCGGGTTATCTCAATGCTTGCTATTTTGTCAGTTAGGACACTTCGTGAGAAAGGCGACGATATGAACAAACGAGAAAAGACCTTAACAAAAAAATTAGCCTTGGGGATTTGAAAATACAAATAGAAAATATACGAAATTCTAAAAATGGAGGAATTATAATTAAACTAGCTGAGGAACACCACAACACACTCTAAACTGCATTCGAAAAGAAATTAGGAAATGAATACAAAATCACAGAACCTACAATGTTTAGACCGAAGATCAAAATTGTCAATTATAGATGCACGGAGAAACCACATGAAGAAGAGATAGAATTAGATCTTATCCAAAAAAATCATTTTACTAAAAAGATGACATCAAAATCAAATATGTACAATATCTCCCATCGAAAAAATGTTACATCTTATTTGCGGACATTTCTGGCAAATTATTCAGGGCAAAATATTTGAAGATAACGATGGAAGGATTCTTCTTGGTTGGCAATGTTTACCAGTCTATGATAATAACGAAATAACGCAATGCAAGAAGTGTCTTCGCTTCAATCATACCGAGAAAAAGTGCCGCAATAACAAGACCTGTACCAACAGCAGCAAGGAGGATGAACACTATACTGAATGTTGTAAGCATGAACCGGTTGTATGTTCTAATTGCAAATTTTCAAACCGTAGATATAACAAAAATTATAGTACCAACCACTCACCATTACCTAGATAAAAAATGTCCAACTTTTCTATATTATCAACAGCAGTACAACTTGCAAATCCTTTTTTAAAAAGAGAAGAAAGTTTAGCCAAAGTTTTAGAATTTTGCATCACATATGACACACGACTACGTAAATAACTTCCAAATTCAACGAATTAGTATCTACTAGCGAGCTAGATTATTTTTTACAAAATCCTGAAGTATCTGTTAGAAGTTATCATATGAGTATCAGAAGTATAAAACAAAACTTTAACTGCTTTAAATTAATTTTGAGAACAATACGAAGTGATATAGATATAATCATTCTATCCGAAACATGGCAAGTGGGCGATGTGACTCTGTTTCAATTAGAAGGGTACGATACACTGTATAATTTTGGTAACCATAATCAAAACGATGGAGTGATGGTGTATGTACGAAACAATCTTCCTTATAACCATACCATATTTACAATCAACAATGAACTAAAAGGTATCAATGTAACAATACAAATTGAAAATCGTGAAGTCAAAATTACTTGTATTTACCGGCCACCATCTTCAGGTCCTCATACATTTATAGGAGACATAGATGATCTGTTAAAAAACAATGAAAACAATCATCTTCAAAATCAAATATTTATAAGCGACATCGATATAAAAATTTTAGAGGAAAATTCTATGGTGAAAGAATATTTAAACATTTTATCAAGTAATGGTTTTTTATCATACATAAAGTAACACGACCCACCAGTAAAACCTGCATTGATCACTGCTTTATAAAGGATATCTCCAATATTCTTTCTTACATGCCTATTATCTATGAGATCGATATTACAGATCATTATTCCACTGTATTATTGATATCTTCACAAAATAAAAACCAGAACTGCCCAATGGCAAAAAATGAAAGAAACCTTAAATACAAATATTTCATTGACAACTCAAAATTAATATTTAACGCACAAACGAAATCGTCAAGTAATTGAAGTTAGTACTAATAAGGTTAAATTAAGTCACAAGGAAAAAAGCAGAAATGATTGGATGACCAACTAATAAAATCTGCAAACGAAAAAGAAAGACTGTATAAAATCATGAAATGTTAACCCACAAAAGAAAATATAGATCATTACAATCAGTATGAAAACAAATTTATAGAACTTTTGAGAAAAGCAAAAAAATACTATTTAAAACAATTGACTAATAATTCACATGACTCTAGACACCTATGGTCCACTGTCAATGATATATTCAATAAATCATCCTATTCAAAAAACAATATTAATGAAATAAAAACAAAAACAGGACAGAAAATATACAATATTCAGCAAATATGTGACGAGTTCATAGAATTTTTCACGAATATAGGAGAAAACTTGGTAAATAATATCAAACAAAATGCTGATGTTCATTTGCATGAAACAAGGCTGACTAATTCATTTGTATTAACTGAAGTAGACTATCAGTATGTTTTCAATGCCATTATGACTTTAAAAAATAAAAAAAGCCCTGGAGTTGACGAAATTAGAGCTGAACATATAATGATACTGGCCAAATAAATAACAGAACCACTTGCTTATATCATTAACAAATCCTTTCAATCTGGAGTATTTCCATCAGCTTTCAAGACAGCAATCATCATACCTATCTATAAAGCTAATGATAATACGGATGTCACTAACTATCGGCCTATTTCACTTATATCAAGTTTAGCTAAATTTTTCGAGAAATTACTCCTTAATAAAATGATTTTTTTTATACTCCAACTACCACGAAGGCCTAAAGCCTAAGCACCCATTTGGTACCGTGGGGCTATATAGGGGGATACATGGGAAAGGGGGAACGCCACACGGACTCTGGCGAGGGAACACGTGTGCATGCAACATGCACACATTCTGGCTCCGCCTACGAGATCCGCCGGGTGGTACCTCCGCGTTCGACAGTCAGAGACCGTCTACCACCTACGGACAATCACAACATCCATAGCCAAGAGAAAAATTTCTCCTGGGACGGGACTCGAACCCGCACAGCGCACGGCGACTGATCAGGAGACCGAAGAGTCTACTACTGCGGCCACCGCTGCTGCCAATTTTCTTAATGAATTCAAAATTTTAAATTCAAATCAATATGGTTTTATAGCGGGCAAATCTACAACAGATGGAGTATTAAGTATAGTAGATGAAATTACCCAAAATATGGATGGAAAAGTACCATCTATATGCGTATTTGTGGATTTACAAAAAGCGTTTGACATAGTTAACCACAATATAGTTTTGGAAATCTTAGAAAGAATAGGTTTTCGTGGAAAGATGTACACTTTAATGGAAAATTATTTATCAAATAGACCGCAATCAGGTACAAGGTAGAATTTTGGGTCCTCTGTTATTTAATCTTTATTTCAACGATATATTCAAAATTACTAGTACTGGTAAAATAGTCAGTTTTGCAGACGATACTGCTATACTCTATAAAGGAAAGGATTGGAACGACTTAAAAGATGTCATCCAAAATGACTTTGGCAAAATTATTCAGTGGTTTAATAACCGAAAATTAACAACTAACTTCACTAAAACGCATTTTTTACCATTTTCATCACTATCTAATCATCTACCAAAATATAACCACCTTCGCTTTAAGGTAAATGATAAAAATCAATAGAGTTAATCATACAAAATATTTAGGAATTTATCTAGATCCCCACTTGAGATGGGATGTACATATTTCTTACATACTAAAGAAAATTAGATTCATAGCATATAAAATAAAATTTCTAACCGGTATATTAACTGAATATTATCTACGAATAATACAAGCTTTAGTCAAGCCGCACGTAACATACGGTATAGTAGTATGCGGTGCTGCATGCACGACATACCTTAACGATTTAGGCCCGTATCGTCAGTCGTCCCTACAATTATTGTAGGGCGCGTTTATGGCCTCCTTGATTGTCATACTCCTTTCTCTCCTTCAAAAATTTCTAGATTACACTTGTCCCGTGTCAGCGTCAGCGCTCTCCTATTGTGAAGATATGTTTTCTTTTTAAATTGTAGGAAATTTCAGGCTTATAAAACATGATATAACTCAAAAGCAAGCACAATTTGATGCAAATAGATGTTTGTGACATAACCTCAAAATAGAGTTCTGACACGGAGACGTAGAAAACTATGACAATCAAGGAGGCCATCAAGGCGCCTTACAATTGTAGGGACGACTGACGATATGGGCCTTAGATGTGCTTCAAATAACAATTTCAAAATCAATGTTTAGCAAATCAAAATTATACCCAACTAATGACTTATATAATCATACACAAGTATATGCTACTAAACAACTTTACTTCTTACATACCATCACTCATTATCACAAAATTATTAGTGAACGCGACATAATTAAACATAGTCATAACACCAGATATAAATTCCGCGCAAAAAATGTTCCTAAACCAAACAAATCTTTAATGAAACGATGTCACCTGTATTTAGCTCCAAAATTGTACGAACATTTACCAAATAATTTAAAACAATTACGCAATACACTAGGTTTCAGAAAAAATTAAAAAAATTTGTTAACACGATTGGGAGAAATCACATTAATAGAATAATCTCAAATATTACACAATAAATGCTCTATCATTCTTACCAATAATTTTTTTCTCCCTATTTTTTTAATCTTTTGCAATTCAACATACATATGATCCATGCACAGTCGTTGTCCTCCTATGGATATATTATATTTATTCACTCGTTTCATGTTCCCTGTATTTAGTAAATAAATATTATTATTATTATATCGTATCAAATCCTGGTACGCCTGTTCCTTTATTTCTAAAGTTACCCATTTTTAATCATCCTATTCAATTCAAATCTTACACATACTTTACATGTCTTTGCATAACATCGTTCTTTTATATATAACTTTTATCTCTGGAAGCTCCACGTATATATGCTAACAGAACCAAACTTTTGCCATAATTGAACCGTATCCACGAAGAGTATCACATAACGGGGCTGGATTACAGACAGTGAAACTTTTTGATCGACTTACTTGCTTGTCCCACAAAGCTAGAGGGTTACTGCCGACGCTGTAGAATATCGAGATGAAGCCGCTTTGGTAGGAACTGGAGAACATGCCAATGATGGGATGACGGTGATTGGAAGGTGTGTTTGCAAATGTGACAGTCTCACCGTATCTTGAAAAGTGACATTTATTTCGTCGTTTTTTTATACAGGGTGTCCCGCGAGGTAAGGTACAAAATTTTTCTACGTGTTGCTCAGATCAATTCGAGTGGAAAAAGTCCAACGAATATGGGTCCGCAAATGTTTCCTTGTCGAGATAATGATTTTTTCATTTTTAGGGTGCTAATGGTGGGAAAACCACAATATTGTTGGAAAATTACTTTTATTTAACACAAAATTACTAGGTACAATAAAAATAACTATTTACAATAGTTGTTCAAAGTGTCCAGCTTCACACTGTAAACATAGTCTAGCCGGTTTAATAATGTGACTGGCGGCTTTCCCAATAACAGGACGATTACTTCTTATGTCGTCAGCGACATCAGTAATTTTACGGAGCAGTTCTGGCCTTGTATGGGATTTCTCTGCATACACTAAAGACTTCATATGTCCCTACTAGTAATAATCCAAGGGATTTAAATCGGGCGAGCGGGGTGGCGAAGAAACTGCGGCCCCTCGTCCAATCCAACGCCCAGGAAAAGTGTTATTGAAATATGTTTTGCAAAGTTCAATCAAACTGACAGAACTACTCCGTCAAGAAACAAACAAACTCCAGTGTATTAATCGGGCAGTACAACGTGAATGTGAATTATTGTAAACAGTTGTTTTCATACTTACCTACAGTATTCAATTTGTTGTTAAATAAAAGCAATTTTTCAACAATATTGTGGTTTTCGCCCAATAAAAATAAAAAAATCGTATCTTGATAAGGAAGCATTTGCGGATCAATGTTCATACGACTTTTTCGACTTGAATTGACCTGAGGCACTCGCAGAAAAACTTTGTCCCTTACCTCGCGGGACACCCTGAATATTTCGTAGGTTTTTTGTGACATAACGTAGGTCTTTCTACCAGATGTTAACTTAGCAGTTTGTACAATTGTTGTGAACTCGTTTTGAAAATGTACGCTTTGCTTAAACGACAGCAAACAGCGACTATGGCGATCAAACGCGAAATGAACTATTTAAACACTAAAAACTACCCAGTCTCCAAGATGACATTTCTTCGTTTTTTTTTAGACCTTTTTTAGGTTTTTTAAATAGCCCTAATGGTCACTGATGTGTGAGGTTACTCGGCCAGCAGGCACGTCCTACTAATTTGATTTTTGCATAATTATATCCGAATAGGATGCCCTTTTAGCGGATCTGCAAGCTGATTGGCCCGAAAATTGTTTAATCAATGTTTTAAGCAAATTCCGAAAAACGTTTTTGCGCTCCGCACAAAGTAATTCTGAACAAAAAAGGCGTTCACCAACAGTTCAGTTGTTAGTTTATATAGAGATTCAATATTTGAAGAATATGCTATAATTGACTACGAAAATAATTTAATAAACGATTATAAAGTTGTCCAAAGCTTTTACTATACTAGTAGAGAAAATTTTCTGAGGGGGACCGAAAAAAAATTGTACACAAAATCATAATAAACATACAAATTTTAAGGTCGAAGTGGAGTGGAGGAGGCGGCCCTCCTGGCACCTTCGTGGGCCGCCCATATACAAAAAAACGAATCAGGGTATTTTCTGGGCGGATGCAAAGAAACCCAGTTCCTGGACATGGGAGTGGCAGTAATTTGGCCACCAGATTCTTCTCTGAATACCTGTGTTTGGTAATTTATAACTCTCATTGCTTGAGCACTAGTTTACTAGTTTTCTCAAAAGGTATTTATTTCTAAGGTGGTAAAATTTCATTAATTACTCTCGCACCCTGTGGACACACAGATACGCCACTGATTTGATTAAAGAACGGGGATTTCCCCTGAAAACTAAATTTAATTGGGGCGCCACCTAGCGGACGATAGCAGAACTGTACAATGCACTGAGCTTTTTGTGTAAGCCTGATCACTAGCTAAAGCGACATAGGCGTGTATTGAAACTTTCGAGGAAGGTGTCGAGGCATTTTGCATCTGGTCTATTTGGGTAAGACGTCAATGGTTCAAATTTACATAGTTGCAACCACAATTAACACATAAAGCAAAACTGTCGAGAAAAAACATGTATGTATGTGGCCCCACGCATGTGGCCAGCTATAGCCTGTCAGTAGCTGACGTAGGAACGTGGCGACATCTATGCCACAAAAGTTTAAAAGAGAAAGCTTTGCAGGTTTGCCTCCATATTTTTGCTATGCTAATTAATTAGGCTTTTATTCAAGAGATAGCGCCGCACTAGCACCAGTGACAATGACAGTGGATGATAAGTCAGAAGTCAAAGAAAAGTTTGGCAATCGTCAACTTGGCATTACTTGCAGATATTTTTTAGACCCAAATAAAGAACAATAAAAAATAGTGATTTTTTACATTCGACTTTGAAGAATGGGTGCCACCGATACAGTAGCCGATGTAGAAATGAAGAACGCCGATAGCCCCCCAGGAATGGAAGCCGGGGATAGCAAAAGAGACACAGACTTGCAGAGTGTGCTGGAGATCCGCGAGCAAGCCAAGCAGATTGAAAAGGCGGTTTCTAATAAAGAAAACAGATTCATTCTTAGAGTGCTGAGATGTCTGCCGAACACTCGGAGGAAGCTGAACGGTGTGGTACTCCGCAGTTTGATTACCCAGCTGTATCCTGTTTCAGAGAGGGAACCATTGCTTTGTTTCATTGAGGAAGCTACTGGTAAGAATGCTTTGTGCAAAACTACGTATAAAAACGTTCACTTCAGTCAAAAAGTGCGGTAGGATATAGTAGAGCCAACTTTAATATAACTGCAAATTTTAGAATCAGTTTTTAAACACATTCAGCTCTTGCATGCGTAGTTTTCAGTTGATAATACGATCGAGAAGCAGCCGCGATTTACCGAATTTTTGTTACTGCGGGCAAAACTTAACAAAATGTTGAAAAATACTTTTTGGAGTATAAGTAGCGATTGGTATATTGAAGTACAGATGGCTACAAAATTCGTTGACTTTGAGTTTTTAATAGTTATGTTCATGTTTTGATAAAAGCAGTATAAAATGTAAAATAGTTATACTTCAATGGCATTATTATGTGATAGATACAAATGTTTTCAATGAAATAATTTATATTTTTGATGTATATACTCAAAATCAGGTAAATCCTGGAACTCCAAAGCTCCACATAAACACTAATGCTTTAGTGACCCTATAGCTGCCCACCACCATTCAAAGAGGGGAAATTCTGTTATGCTACTACTAAACATTTGAGGTCAATTTATAAACTCTTATGTTGCTGTACCATTACCATAAAACGCTATGGCAGTTGTAATCAATTTAGAAACTTAGTGTTGTTGTGGCATGTGATGCATAACCTAACTCAAAATTAAATTCTGTTTCACATATTTGAAGACCAAATCTCTCATAAAACAGAGAGAAAAACATGAAAAAACTGATCTGACTCAACAAACATGTGATTTTTTGGTTAGTTGAATCAGGAACAACATCGGCAGAAACTTGAATCTTCATAGAGTCAATGTGGCATTCTTGTTTATAAGCAGTTTAACATCAAACTCTTCCTTCAACTATCAAGTTATGGCAATGATTCGGCAGTGATGCAGATCATCAGAGCTTATAAGTTGACCTTTAAAACTATCACTTTATGCCAATAAAGTGCATAGTTTGTCATATCTCTGTACACTTTTTGTTGGACCCCTACACTCTTCCTATGGCAATGTCAATCACAAAATTGAATATTTGGCCTTAAAGTAGCATTTTAGATGTTTTGTGGTAGAATGTTTTAGTCAGAACAGTATCATTTATCAAGTAAAAGAAATCAGAAAAACTGCAAATTTCAAGAGTATCCTTACCTCGGTTGGTTCTTAAGGTCCCACAAATTATCTTTCAACAGATTTTTTTAAACCTCTCCTAGTAATAAAAATTTCATAAAACTCAGGTCAAGCCACCAATTGATGGATGCTGTATCCTAATATTTGTCCATACTTTTCTGGTAGTCAAATGAGAGCACAAAAAATTAATGTTTTGAAAAATTCCACATATGTAATATGATTTTACAATAACTAATTGCTGATGCTTTGTTATTTGCATTTTTATTATTGTCTGATCAATCTTTAGAATAAATTCAACAGCTACTGTACTCAGAAAAAGATGAGGTAACCAAATGTTTTTTAGCTGAACCTATATTTGTTAAGTTGCTAGCCTACACATTATGTAGTATTCAGTGCTCCCCCTTCCTCAGAACGCTCTGGCCTATGATTTTTTGTTTTTAATAAAATGATACATTTTGCTGCAAAAACTACCTTGCTAAACTCAAATTGTGGAGCTGTGTGTCCTCCCCTAGACATCTCCCACCCTCTGCTCTTCAATTGTCACAAGGGTATTCAGAGGAGCCTTAAGCATGCTGCCACCAACCCCCTCCCCCTTCAAATTTCAATCGCCGATACCGCTCCCCAAGAAAGAACTTTCTCAACATGAACCCTGCAACCACCACAGACAGATTTTGAAATCCTCAACTGGCAGCAATAGTTAAACTAATGTAGGCTTGCTATTTAGCTGACTTATTTGTTTTTCCAATATAAATAAAATGCATGCCCATTGAAAATGTCAGTCAACAATGTTCGATCAAGAAATCAGAGACAGCCATATATCAAGCATTGTTTATGCAGTTTTCCTATGTTAAGCCGTCATTGAATGTTAAAGGTTTGTATGAAACGTCACATAAATGCCCGCCTCTAGAAAACATATAAACCTAAGCCATCTAGATTACATTTCGTAAAACCTTATGAGTGTTACCCCAATATGATGCAAAACGCTCTGCTAAAGTTCAACAACCTAATTAGCAAGAAATGTGGTTCCACATTTTGCAAATGATGTCAGGGCTTTTATTCTCGTCATTGGTCTATGCTCATCTGGCCTCCAAGACCCCCAGATTTAACCCTCCATCGCTCGCACCGTTAGAAAAAATCTAACATTTTTTAAATTTTTCTCATGAATTTGTAATTTCGCGGCTTAGCAGGTCCACCATCTAGGAATACTCCTTCAAACTAATCTACTATGTGAATCAGTGGTCGTGGGGAGGAGCTATTTTGTTCTAGTGCCGCAATCGCATAATGTTAGTTCCAGTCTAGCACGCGAGTGATGGCGTTCGGCCGCGGGTTAGATAAACAAATTGTAAACAAGCTTATTCTCCGGGATTTTACGTAAGAATTGACGAAATGTTGGAGGCATTTCGGGGGAGATGCCGATTTTGACAATACATAGCCAACAAGCCCGCCAAATACGGCATCTATGGATTAGTAGACGCCAGAACATTTTTTACATCAAATCTTGGAATTTAGGCGGGTAAACAACCAGAGGGACCTATTACGCAGCGAGCGTTGTATTGAGACTTGTAGAGCCAATTAGTGGTACAGGAATGAAACATCAGAAGAAGAAACCTTCAGTTCAGAAATTTTAGATGAAGAATTTTCAGTGTTTCGTTAGTATTTTTGTTATAGTTTATAATAATAATTTTTCACTAATGTATAGCTTAATATACTAAGTGACATATAAATCCGAACACCCAGTTTAAATGGTTTTATTTTAATAAAATTTTGTATAAGTACTTAATGAAGCATAATAAGTAAATGATAAACATTTCAAAATGATTGCACTGCTTTAAAGCCCTTTGACCTTTAATAATGTGTGGATGCACCCTGATGTGTACTACGCATTCTCCAACGCGCCTAGGCATGCTTCTGATCAGGTGGTCAATGTCCTCCTGTGGTATCTCATTCCAGGCAACCACCAACTCCTCTCGAAGTGCTTCTAGAGTCTGAGGAGGACGTTGCAAATTGAGCAATCTCCTACCCATCATATCCCACACGTGCTCAATTGGGGATAAGTCGGGAGATCTTGGTGGCCATGGTAATAATGTGACATCATTATGTTGAAAGAAGTCTATTGTGACTCTTGCAACATGTGGTCGGGCATTATCTTGTTGGAAAGTTGGATCTGCCAGGGTGTCAAGATAGGGTAAAAGATGGGGTTCTACAACTTCGTGGATATAACGCTGCGCGTTCATGTTACCTCTGATGAAGATTAAAGGTGACCTGGAACCATAAGCTATAGCACCCCAAACCATAACTCCAACAGTGTGATGAACATGTCTTTCAACAAAAAACTGTGGATTCCTCCTTTCACCACGTCGCCTTCTAACCCTGGCATGACCATCGTGCATGCCTAAACAAAATCCAGACTCGTCACTAAAGACAATACTGTTCCATTCCTGATAACAGAGTGACCGTTGTCTGCACCACTCAAGACGATTACGTCGGTCTTCTCGAGTTAAAGGAAGTACCCAGTTTGGCCTGTATGAAAACAAGCCAAAACTTATCATTCGTCGGTAAACACTTCGCATGCCAATAGGTCTTCCGTGTTCTGCAAACCATTCATTTGCAATGGACCTGGTAGTGGAGAAACGGTCCCTTAAGGCCAATAATCTTAGGCGGCGATCTTCACGGTCTGTTGTTCTTCGGCGGCGTCCAGTGCCCCTTGCTCTTTGCGTACGGCCTTCTCGAAGCCATGCCTGACAACACCTAACCACAGTGTCTACACTTCTTTGCACTCTAACTGCAATTGCCCGAAAAGAAAGTCCAGCTTCCTGAAGTCCCACTATACGGCCCCTATCAAACTCACTAAGTTGACGAAATCGTACAGGTCTCCGTACTCTAGGCATCGTAACCGATCGTAAAGGATGTCAAGAATCAAAATCCGCCAACGTTGATTCTTTACTGCGGCTGAAATATTCATTTTTAGAGCGTTAGTGAATTAAAAAAAAGCAGTATAAAAACCGGAATGTCCAACTGATAAGGCTGAAAATTTTTTCACTTGTTATTTACAGTAAGATAAATACATTAACCAACTTTTATTAAAATAAAACCATTTAAACTGGGTGTTCGGATTTATATGTCACTTAGTATAGTATAAGCAACTTGACAATATAAACATTTAATTTAAGTAAAAATAGCTTTTTTATTGAACATCTGAATGTTAGATAAAATCTAGCACGAGAGCGATGGTGTAATAAAATGAGGCGCGAGCGATGGAGGGTTAACAGACCTAGACTTTTTCTGATGAGGTTTCTAAAAAACCTATCAAAAGTGATGGAAAACATAATCAATAGTAAGCTTTTATCCTTATGCATTTATTAGTGTTTTTTTTTTTTGTTTTACAGAAATTGATACACCTCAAGCCAGGGCAAGGTCAGCTACAAAATCTCCACTACCTGAAGTGGACACATATATCAATCTGCTTATTTTGGTACGTCTGATTGATACAAATAAACTACCTGAGGCAGAAAGATGCTCACAGGCTCTGATGAGCAAAATTACCAGTCAGAACAGACGGTCTATAGACCACATTGCTGCAAAATGTTATTTCTACCATTCAAGAGTAGCAGAGTTAACGAACAAATTGGACACAATTAGAGGATTTTTACACTCGCGTCTTAGAACAGCCACATTAAGAAACGATTTTGAAGGTCAAGCCGTACTTATCAATTGCTTGTTACGAAATTATTTGCATTACTCACTCTATGATCAAGCGGATAAGCTTGTGAGTAAATGCGTGTTTCCAGAGACTGCCAGTAATAATGAATGGGCGAGATTTTTGTACTATCTCGGTCGCATCAAGGCCGCTAGGTTAGAGTATAGTGTAGCTCACAAGCATCTAGTGCAAGCAATGAGAAAAGCACCGCAGAATGCCGCAGTAGGTTTCAGACAAACTGTGCAAAAGCTACTTGTAGTTGTAGAGTTGCTTCTTGGAGATATTCCTGAGAGGCAGATCTTCAGACAAGCCAGCATGCGAAGATCCCTTGCACCATACTTTCAACTGACCCAAGCTGTCAGAATGGGCAACCTTCACCGTTTTGGAGAAGTATTGGAAAACTTTGGACCGCAGTTCAGAACAGATCATACATTCACCCTCATCCTGCGCTTACGCCACAATGTCATCAAGACTGCAATCAGATCTATCGGATTATCGTACTCTAGAATATCGCCCCAAGATATTGCCAAAAAACTAGGGCTTGACTCTGCTGAAGACGCGGAGTTTATTGTAGCTAAAGCCATAAGAGATGGCGTGATCGAAGCTACACTAGACCCTGAGGCTGGATGTATGAGAAGCAAAGAGACCATGGACATATACTGCACTAAAGAGCCACAGATGGCTTTCCATCAACGTATATCCTTCTGCTTAGATCTGCATAATCAGAGTGTGAAAGCCATGAGGTATCCTCCGAAAGCTTATGGTAAAGAGCTGGAATCTGCAGAAGAAAGAAGAGAAAGGGAACAACAAGATTTAGAACTGGCGAAAGAAATGGCCGAGGAGGATGATGACGGTTTTCCTTAGATTTTTTGGCTTGTATCTAATATTTCAATAATTGTTTATTATACTTTGTAAAACTGAAAAAAGCTTTCTTCATTAAATGTTTGAAAGTCTTTTGCAATTTTTTGGGAGCGATGTCCGCGTTTGCCCCGTCAACAGGGCATGTACGGTTGACGTGACTGTAGATGGGAAAAACATTTGCTAGAATGGTGAAGGAAAAAAGTAATGATATAGAAGTGATAGGAACAAGACAGATTTGATAGAAAAGTAACCTATTTCCCACATTTTGACGTCTTTTGAAGTAAACAGCTGATCAGCAATTGACATATTTGTTCATAACCTTAAATATGACTCGCAGCCTAATTAGCACCATACCAGCTTTGCAGGTTACCCAATTATTCTGTAGATTTGGATCCCTTGTTTAGTTATGCCCGCTACATACGTAACGATATATCGTAGCGATTCATCTGTGCAAACCGATTGGCGCAGATTTATCGATCATGTGTATGAAAAATCGTTGCAGCTTTATCGTTCATGGCGGCAGTTACAATTTCTATAAGATAAATCGTTGTCGATCGCGTTTGCACAGTTTTATGGTCGCATGTGGATGACGGCCGTTCAGTTCGTCACTTCGTGGCGAGGTTTGCTTGCGTGCGCACGCGTGGTTCGCACTCCTGATTACTTACCTTACAAGTTGCAACATGTCGGAAGAAGAAAGAGGTGGACACCGCGAACAACTGGAAGAGTTTATAGCAAGCTACAGACGCGAAACTTGCCTTTGGCAGACAAAATCTAAGGAGTACCATGATCGCAACAAAAAAAAATGCCGCCTACCACAGGCTGGTCGAAAAATACAAAAACATTGATCCAAATGCCAACAGGGACATGGTGGTTAATAAGATTAATAATCTTAGAACTGCATATAGAAAAGAGCTTAATAAAATAAAAAAATCGCATAAATCCGGAGCAGGAACTGACGAGATTTATACTCCTCACTTATGGTACTTCGAGTTGCTAAGTTTTTTATACGATCAAGAAGTACCGAGACCATCGATATCGAACATGGATGAGGACGAAAATGAGGTAGGCTTTATTTCTCAGAAATTATTTATTGTTTATTGTTACATATTCCAATACGTATTGTGTGATTATTACATGCTATTACATTTGATATTAAGGTAGTACGTTTTCCATAGCAACTCTATTTATCCAAATACGCAATCAAGAAATAATCAAAGCTTAGCGCGTCATTATTGGGTTGTATAGGGTGACTCTCGATCATCGCGAAAAAAGTTAAGGTCAATGTACTCATGTATACGAGCAACTCCTTGTATAGGACCAACTTCGGAGTCGTGAAAAAAAATCAGCTGTTCCATACATTTCGCTTGATTGAATTGTAATTTTTCTATGGAACAGCTGATGTTTTTCACAATTTCGAAGTAGGTCCCATGCAAGAGTACACTGACCTTAACTTTTTTCGCGACGATCGAGATACACCCTGTATAAGATGGTAATTATGTTGTTGAAACGTTCCACCTTAATGAATGAAACTGTCTTGCCAAGGAACTGTTCCTTCACTTACAAAATACGTCATAAATTGACATCTAATCTGATCTGCTGTTCGAAGTGCACGGCCTTGGATAGTTCTTTGTAATGATTCAAGTGATGACTCTCTTGTTGTGAGTCCTGACGTAATCGTACCCTCTTCAAAATTTTCTCTATCAAAACATTCTGACGGAGCATATGAATTAAACGATGATGACATCAAATTATGCAAAGCACAGGTTGCTCTTACGACTGAACCAATAGTTTCAGGTGACAGGTTTATTTGTGTTCTGTAAATTCGGAACCTCGCCGCTAGTATGCCAAATGCGTTTTCGACTAAGCGGCGTGCTCGTGATGTCCGATAATTTGCCGAAATGGTTTCATCATGTCATTTCTTAGAGGAAACGCGTCGTCAGCTACAAATACATAGGGCAGTATTCGTGGACTATTTTGCAACCTTTCTGCTGTGGGATTATTTAACGTCTTTTTTTTCAAGTTTTTCATGAAATTTGGTATTCAACAATACTCCACCATCGGAAACCCTATCATTTGTTCCAAAATCAACTAACAGGAATCTGTATTTTGCATCAACGATGGCCATAAGTACCATACTATGTCTATGTTTATGGTTATAAAAATATGAGCCACTGTAGCTTGGAGGCACGATTCCAACGTGCTTACCACCAATGGCACCTAAACAATGAGGAAAGTTCCACTTGTCCTGAAATTCTCTCGCTATTCCTCTCCAATCCTGTTCTGTTTTCGGAAACTGTAACAAAATAAGTTCATCATTAGTCGTTATTTTTAGGAACATAACATTAACTTCTATTCTACAGGAGCATTCAGCTGCCAGCATCGGCTCACCGAGTAACGAAGGAGATACACTAACCTCAAACTATTCTGACACCGAAAGCGACACACCGACCCCGAATCGTTCTGACAGCGAGCGAGATACACCAATCTCGAACCCTAGTCGGCCAAGGCCAGGAAAGAATAAATTAACTGACGACGTACTTAGGTCTATAAATGATCATTTTAAACGGCCTAGAATTCCAGAGAATCGCCTCGAAGTGTTTGGAAAAAATGTGGGAATGAAACTACAAGAGTTACCAAAAGGACAAAGAATAATAGCGGAAAAAATTATCAATGAAAGTCTGTTCTTAGCAGAAATTGGTAGCCTAACTATGTCACACACTGTGAGAAACGATGACTTTGCCAACACTACTCAACCCCGGCCACACACTCAACCCCTTTAAACTCCGCCACACATTAAAACCCAATATCAATTACAAGCTAACAAACACAGCTTTCAAAAACGTTCTCAAGTTGACTATGAATCCTCAAGTGTATCATCAATAGAATCTACACCACAATCACGGCCAGATTTTAATGCACAATCTGTTAATACAATTATTGTTACCCAGCCAGACCTTAATGCACAATCTGATACTACAGCTGCTTGATTTTTAAGTAGTTTTTATACAATAATATGTATTGTATAAGTTTAATTAATAAACTATTTGATGATCATATGTAGTATTTTTTTTTAAATCCCATGCTTACCTTCAAGTAGTCTTTCCGCAGAACCTCGTACAAAGCATCACAGGTTTCAGGAACTATTTGGCTGAGAGCCTGAGGTGATATTATTTTAGAAAACTTCATACATTCATAGGAACGACCTGTAGCTAAAAATTGCGGTGTAGCAGATAACCTTTCATGAGGACTTATTGATTTTCTCATCACAGTGTCCTGTTTCTTTATTAGTGGAGTAACCAAAGCCAGGAGGTTTAAGTATGTCTCCTCGTTCATCCTTAAATAATTGTGCCAATCTTTTTGAGCGAATTTTAACTCATTTAATAAGTTGGTATGAGAAAATTGCTTCCTTTTCATGAGCCAGTCTTTGCACCACACACTCCGCGACTTTTTTTTCTTTAAAAACATAACCAGGCCCAATAACGCAAGTGCGTCATCATCTTCCATCATGGATGACATGTTTCTTGCGCTGCACAGTCTGAAATCGCTACGATAGATCGTTACGTATGTAGCGGGCATTACTATGAAAACGGGTTGAGATTCAACCGTTTTTCAGCACCAGCAGCCTGAAAAAGCAGCTATCTCAAGGCGCTGGCTTATGAGCCCACCATACTAAATACATGTTTAGGAAATACGATTTTCATGATTGCCACGTGGGAGATACCCGATCGGCGGTTATGCAGGCAAGCCTGACTTCTCAGCTATGCCACTGTGCACCCTATCACATTGACTACCCTCATTGAAGCTGTTTGACAGACACACTGACGTGTATTTTAAATTGAAAATCCTCGCGCCATCTATCAGACGGTAGCAGAGAACCAAATTATTTTGCAAAGTACTTTTCTATATTCATTTTTGTGCTGTGCTGCTACTCATAGATGGTGCTAGCGTATTTCAGATACCTTTTTGGCACCAGAATACAGTATATTGTAGGCTATCTTCATTAATCAATACTTATATATAGCTTTTGAAACTAGTTGAATCTAAGAGTATTTAGAGGGGATTAATAATACAACAGATTGGCTTTTAGGGCATTTTGTATTCAATAAATATACATTTATACAAAAGAAAACTTTATATTTAGATATATAATAAAAACAACAAATGAATCAATTCTTGCGAATCATAATCATTGCGAAGAGGAACTCAAATGCAGCTCAACCCATCAAGTAGTAAAAATACGGCTGAAAATTACAGGTTGCTACTCTAAACTACCATCTTTTCTCATAAACTAACGAGGTACCACAAACACGCTGCGGTAGATGGTCCAGTATATGATTCATTCAATTTCACCTCAAAAAATCTCATTTACCTATGCAGGCTGTAGAGTTATCAGTAGATACCCTTTTATTTGCCAATATAATTATTCGAAATCGTGATTTTACTTTTTTATTTGCATTAGGTAAGACGTCATCTATTCATTACGCCACAACCTGTAGATTTTATATTGACATATCCTACCTAAAGATAGCCAACCATATACTGCATTTCAGCGCCCAAAAAAAAATCCAAAAGATCCAGCTCCATCTATGAGTAGACAGAAATCGCACTTTGAAATGAGTTGCAGTGTTTGGTTCTGGTACATCTCATAGATGGCGCTAAGATCTTCCATACCTTTTTTGGCCTCTCTAATGCCTCAAATGGGCATCTTCAGGCGTTGATTAACCCGTACTACCTGAATATACCAAACTAAAATATGCTCGTATATTAGAGAGGTGCCAAGGAGGGATTGAACACCAAGTGCCAACTTTTTCCAAACTAGATTCCGAAATTTCATTTTTGTGTTCTGTTAGTGTTTCATAGATAGCACTAGTCTCCTTCAGGTCCCTTTTTGAACGCTGGTATTAGTACGCGGATGGCTATCTCGAAGTAGAATATGTTAATCAACGGTTTTCATCAATTTGAGGAGGAGTCATTGAAGTTCAACAAGTAATTCACAGAGAGCAAAAGTGTCGGGATTATCAATGATTTCTCGCCAGCAATACTTGGGCTTTTTAAAAAATGTCATTTTAGAACAATCATCCTGTATAAACGCGAGTTCTATGAAATAATAAAAACTCACTATGTAACAGAGTACATGGCATTTATTAACAGTCGAGTTTATACACAGTATTTTTCGATATATTATTTGCTTTAAAACATGCCAATAAAAGATATAAACTCGTATTTTAAAACACTGCATAAATCAATGGTGTACCATTTGAGTTCCTAAATATAAATAAACAAAGTGTATCAGTCATAAGCTGAACCAGGATGTGCATTTCTAAAAAAACAGCACACATCTCAAAAAACGTCATTACAGCTAGGGCGACTCTACACTTTCATGACACAAAACTTGCCACCATACTTACAAAAACTGCCAACTCAAAATCATTTTGAATACAAAACTGTCCTAAAATGTTGCAAAACAACGTAGTAAGGTTGAAAAGGGCCAATCTAATGGTGACCTTGAACATTACCTTCAAGGTCATTTGAAAGTCAAGACAGTTTTCTTAAATGGAAACCCTTATTTTTGACACCGGAAACGTATAGAGCGGAAAACTTCACGTTCAACCTTGACTATGACCTTCTAGGTCGGCCAAAAGGTATAAAGAGAACATATCTTGAAAAAAATGTGCTCTCTAGAGAAATATGTTACAGAGCAAAGTTGCAAGGTTTAAAAACGGTTATCTATAGGTGACCATGACCACAGCCTCAAAGGTTTTACGAGGATTTAGCGGAACGTGGAATTACTGTTCTGGAAGCAAGAATATCCTGTTAACAATTCATTCAACCTTTAAAAGACCCAGAAGATCATAGTCACGGTGACGGTCATGTACGTGATAGTGACCCGCACGGAAGCGGTTGAGAAGTGCGCGGCAGGGGGGTAGGGAGTCGCGACAGGAAATTTATTTAAACTGAAAACCGATTATCGGTATGACTTCATTATACTTATTTTTTAGTTTTACCATAGTAAAGTGTAGTAAAATCTCGCCACCGTCTGAGAAATATCAACTAGACTTCCGAACTGTTTCAAAACCGTAAATGTTTCTTTGTATTCCCGACAAAAAGGTGTTAACGTAAAAATTTATCTGATCTTCAAATGACTTTGAAGGTCATGGTCATAATCATTGGCAAGGATATACTTGAACATAAAATTGTCCGCAATTTGTATTTCAAGAATTAAAAATAGATGTTTCCCGTTAAAAATTCACTTGATCTTCAAATGACCTTGATGGTCATAGTCAAGGTCATAGATATACCTTAACATAAAGTTATCTGCTCTTTACATTTCAGCTATGAAAATTACTGACCTTAAAATGACCTTGAAGAGCATAGCCAAGCTCATGTTCAAGGTCACCACTTGTTGGCCCTATTCAAACATTACAACTTTGTTATGCTACATTTTTCTTTATGAAACGCATTTTTCGAGATATTTGGGCAAAGACATACTTGAACTTAATAATCTTTAGATTTCTGGTGTCAAAAATAGTGGGTTTCAATTAAAAAACTGTATTGGCCTTGAAGGACATGATCATGCTCACCATTAGCAACCACATTTCAAACCTTGCACTTTGTTTTACAACATTTTTCTCTAGAAAATGTATTTTTCGAGTTATTTTGTTGTATCCATTTTTTTGGACACGATATAGCTAAATCTGAAAGGGAATTACTCAAAAATGAAGATGTAAGAGGCAAGATACATGCACCTAATGGGAGAGCATTGCCATGATAAGACAGATTTCAGTGAGTATCACAACTTTCAGAGAGGTGGCATTTTTATGATTTCATTGGTAATGGATACTACACATAACTCGGATTTCATTAAAGTTTCTGGTGAGAATAATTTTTATGCGAATAATACACATATTCAATATTAAGGTAGTGATGCCAGAAATGTATTCAAAATTATTTGATTCGTCAGTGAAAAATATAGTGACGTGGACGTACAAATATGACATGATTAATCGAGACAAAAATATGTCTTATTTTTAATTATCTCCTTTCTTCTTAAGGGCCTTTAAACATATATGGCACAAATTGATTACTCCGCTACGAATTTTAAACAATACTATAAAATATTTTTTGGATTTACATATCAAAATGTAATTGGAACTCACAAAGAATTATATAGAACCTTAACTATGATTGTATTATTTTACTCAATATATACAATTTCCCCCTCAACAAAAATTACACAAATAAATCTTAGCATGGGCATTGGTTAACTTTTCGAAATTTCCAAAAATAAAAGATATCTTAACTGTCTGCTATATAGCTAAATGATTGCTAAATTAATAGTGAAAAAATAAAGATAATTACATACGTGCAAATTTACTATACTTTAAGAATCAATGATAAAAATTATAATGTATCTAGGCGACCCTGATATTTTTTGAACAGCTCTTCTAGTGCAGATTTCAATTTCATCCTAAAGGGGAAGAACGGTAATGTCAATGTAATGGTTCGAAAACGCTCTGGAACTTATATTTTTTCTAAACAATCCCTAAGCAAAATTATAGAAATAATCAAAGAAATCAAAATAGTACCGTTTTTTCAGGATACTTTGTATCCCATTATCATAGATCACATCATGTTCAAATTAGTAATTAAATATCACTGCTCACAAATTATCGCTGTATATATAAGCAATCTTCCATTTCTGAAACTTTATTGTACGCTAACGTCTCGTACGCTGCAAAAGTATAAATATTAAATCAATCATACATACCCGCGATTTTCGAAATCTGACTAGGTCACAAAAATAAAAATAAAACATCCAAGAGAATCATGAAAACTTTCGATTTATATATACACATAAAAATTTATCATGTTTCTATATTGCTTATATATTAATATATCACTGGTAAGGTTAAGAAGCATTCTCTAGATACTTCACATAGTTGGATGCACAGTCGCCTGGAATCATACAGCGGCAGATTA